TTAATGTTCAGTAGGAATTTTCAGATTTTGGTTTGTAGCCTACCTTGGCTTCATCTGCAGTAGTAGCTTGGTGGATCACAAGTTTCATAGGCCTCAAGCTCTCCAGGTTTCACATGGTATAAAAAGGCACCAGTTGTTACTCGGGGTAATTAAGAAAGTCATTTCTAGTGTGCTGAATGCAAAAGGGGCTCCCTCGGGTCTTCTGCAGCAGAACCTTTAACAAAGGCTTCCTTTTGGATTGCTAATTAGGCAGTGGAGTTAAACTGGTGGTAAAACCAAAATAAATAAACCCTAAAGAATTCCAATTAAGCAGTGTGGCTAGAATCCTTTCTCATATTAACCGTTTGAGATTCTTGCTCTCTTGATTATTTGACAGTTCTCCTGTTGTCATGGAAGTCTTGCTGAGCAGAACAATTTCTACTTATGTGAAAAAGTACCTTTTTAAAACCTTTTTCATAGGACATATGGATATGCCTCTTCTGTTCTTTAACTCCCCCCACCCCATTAAAATGGCTTTTTTTTTTTGTTTACAGAGTGGCTAGTCATGCTGCAAGGGGCACCCATCTTCTTAATTTATATATAGTCCAGGTTTGTGATTCACCCTCTTAAAATCAGCCTGCGTTTGAAAATATACCGTATTTTTCGTCCCTTAGGACGCTCCGTCCCATAGGACGCACCTATTTTTTTTGGGGGGGGGGGGAAATAAAGGAAAAATTTTTTTCCTTTATTTCCCCCCCAAAACCAGGTCGGGGAACAGCGGGATGGCGGCGCTGCGCCTCCCTGCTGTCCCCCGAGCTTGTGGGGCTGGCCGATGTCTGCCCGGCGCGCAGGGCGCTCTGCTTCAGGGCATCCCGCGCGCCGGGCGGCAGGCTGCTATCCGCAGCCTAGGGAGCCCTGCGGGAACTCCCGCGGGCTCCCCAGGCTTGCTGATAGCTTCCTGAAGCGTGGAGAGCGAGAGGGGTCGGTGCGCACCGGCCCTCTCGCTCTCCAAGCTTCAGCGAAAGCCTGTATTCACCCCATAGGACGCACACAGATTTCCCCTTCATTTTTGGAAGGGAAAAAGTGCGTCCTATAGGGCGAAAAATACGGTACATCATATACAAAATATATGTAAATTTGTGGTCATCGTGGGCCTGTGCCTGAAGTCCCTTAAGTATTTCACAATGCCCCCTGACTGCTGGAGAGAATTATCAGCTGATTTTTTTAATTTTACTTTTGGAGACCCTTTGGGAAATGCTTAGCTTGTTGGGGGGAAACTGAACACCAATCATTACTTCTTCCTTTCCCTTCTACAGTATTTCTTTTGATGTGTAGGCTAAGTGAAGACCACGCTGGGCCTTAGGTCTCGCTTTTTTCCCTTCCCAGTTCCTTGCATAGTTACTCAGCATGCCTTCAGGTACAGCCAGCTTCAGGGAGTTCATGCAGAGAAGGGAGCGGCCTCTGTGCTTTGCCCCAGGAAAGGGAGCTAACAGTTGATCCTGATAACATTACAATGACTTCACTGCTTGGCACGATCCAGCTGGGAAGAGGGGTGCCAGCAGCAATCATACTAACAGCAATTTTCCTCCAAGTGAGTGCAGAAAACATAATCCAAGAATTGCAGAGAGAAGGCACTTGAGGGGGCAGAGAATCAGAGGAGACCTGTCATTTCTTCTCCTACCCAAATGCTTCTCTGTTCTCTACCTCCCAAAAGCTCTGGGTCTCCCAAAGTGTGCTGTAGATTACAGGCATGCCTTGTTCCAAGTTGTTATATATTTCTAAAAAGAATGTATTGTTTTCATTTATAACTGAGTCCCTGGAGGACAGCTGTGGGAGGTCACTCAAAACCTTTCACCTTTTGTACTCTTAAATTAGTTCAACCCAGCTCCTCTATCTTAGCATGGAAAAAGTCTACAGACATGGTGGCTGGGTCAAGGCTGTCCTGGCAAAAGTGGATAAACACATAGCTTGGCATAGAAGCATATAATTTGTGCTAAATATCCTACTTCATAATTGGATTTTTGTGCATTCAAAGCTTGCTTCCAACTTTTTTCCTTCTGCAGTAGTTCCCAAGCTGCAAAACCCTACATAAAGAGGAAAGAGGTGAATTTATTCTCTCAAGTCACAAGGTTGCTTTTAAAAATGCTTTTACAGCCTCAACTTGTTCAAGATGCCCTTTGACTCACAGTGAACATTGTGCAATTAATTCCGAGAGACATGGAACGACAAGTCCTACACCTCAGCTCCTCTAGGGACATGTTTCCAAAGAGGCGCAGACACCTGATATGACCTTTATATATTTGATGTCTTCTGTCGTGCCACACCATCAAATGAGCAGGTGCACTTACATGCCAGAGCATTTCATACTTTTCCTGAAGGGAGATAACCACATATAGTAAAATACATGATGACTGCATTGTGTGAAGTGCAGGAAGTATCTGTTTCACGAAGATACATTTTGGGCATCCTTGTGGCAAAGGAAGAATTTGTGGCCCTATTCACACATTGCAGTAAATGTGTATCATCTAACTGGAGAATACCCCATTGCAGATAATTTGTAATGTATGACTTGTAAATAGTATTTTATTGCCTTCCTTCACCATCTCTTTAGTATTCCAAAAAGTGCAATGGTGGGGGGTGCCTTCTCCAACATGCAAACTACAGACTGTGACTATAACCCTGGCACTGTGACACAATCAGAATTTGTTTTAAAAACAATCACAAAGCAAACGTCCACATGACTTCTTAAAAACAAAAATTTTAAGTGTGGATAAATGTAAGTGCAAGTTCCATAAAAAGAGATATACACAATGAAATATAGTTTGAACTTTGCAAAACAGGCATGTTCCTGTTAGGAAATCCCCCCCCTCCAGGAATCTAAGGGAAACCTAGTCTCTCACTGGTGAAGTTAGGGAATTTTTGGCTCTAGGCTTAAGGCCTTATCTCTTTCCTCTCTTTAGATTGCATTTTGTATTACTTCTTTACTTTAAACTGTGGAAAGCCAGCTCTGCTGTAATTCCCAGTCCTCTGAGTCATTCTACTAAGTGCAGCCCTAGTTAAAATATGCAACTTGCCTTTAAGATCAGACTCTGTACCTGAGGACTAGTAAGTGGCCAATTTTTAAAAAGGGATCCGGGGGGAGATCCTGGAAATGAGAGGCATGTAAGCTTAATGTCTGTTCTAGGAAAACTAGTGGAAAGCATTGTTAAAGATAAAATTGCTAGGCATACAGAAGAACAAGTCTTGCTGAAGAGGATACAGCAACTCTAATAGAGTTCTTTGGGAGTGTAAACAAGCATAAAGACAGAGGTGATCCAGTTGACATAGCATACTCCACTATTCAAAAAGCTATTGACAAAGTACTTCACAAGAGACTCCTAAGTAAACTTAGCGTCATGGAATAAGATAACCAGTCCTTTTGTGGACCAGGAATCACAAGTGGGAATAGTGCTGCTGCACTTAGGTCCTGCTTTTGGGGTTCCCAGAGGTATTTGACTGGCCATTGTGAGAACAGGATGCTGGACTAGATGGGCCACTGCTGGCCTAATCCAGCTGTGCTCTTATGTTCTTATCTATCCAGGACCTGCCCTGATGGCACCACTGCAGGCTCTCCTCCATTAATGTCTCATTAAATTAATTCTGTTGTTTCATCTCTTAGATAGGTTTTTTTGGTTGCCGCTGAAAATCCCCTATCCTCCAAAGAAAGGCTTATTCAGGCATGAGAACTCCTATAATCCTTCCATTGTAGTACTTGTTTGTTTTGGCATGCTTGGTGTACCCTGACCATTTTGACATCCCTGTGTGAATGAAGGTATCTTTAAATGTCTAGAAACTGTATTGCACAAGGCCAGCGTAGGCTAAAATAGAAGACTCAGGTGAATGTGCTTGCCAAGCCATTTGGGTTAAGAACCTTTTGTTCCTTAAGAAAACACTGGTTCTGCTTGGCTAGATTTTAGGCCTGCTTATTATTTGTTACATTGGCATTCCACCTTTCCTCCAAAGGTCAAAGCAATGTACATCTCTCCCCATCCAATTTTATCTGCGTAACAATCCTGTGAGGTGAGTTAGACTGAAAGATAGTGACTGGATAAAGTCACCAGGGAGTTTCATGGCTGAGTGGGAATTTAAACTTGAGTCTCTCTAGTCCTAGTCTGACATCACCACTATCGCCATATTTATGTTCTCAAAACTACTGAGACCAGGCTGTTATTCAAGAGCTGAAATCTTGAAACCAATAGCTTCATCTCACATCATTTTGCTGTTGCACAAACCAAAGTTGCTCCTTCCAATTTTTAGCAAGCCCTCTTAAGATTCCCTTGGGTGAAGGTGCAAGATGTGGGAAGGGCATTTCTGATTTTCAAAAATTTGGCTAGCAAGTCCTAGACAGAAAGGACTTTATATGTGGTGATGGTTTCGTTCCCCTGAGAGTCATCTTCCAACTCTACAACTCTAATGCTTTCACCTGGCTGGAATGTGTCCTTGAACTGTGATGATGCCTCTTGCTTCCTCAGGTGTGTATGTGTATACAGAAACCTCTGCCACTTACCTGGATGGAATGCAGCCCACTGTACATGGATAAGACCCATCGGTTCACCGATTTTTGCCTCGACTGCTCTTCACCCAGTGTTTTGCCTACCACTTGCATGGGGCCCCCAGAAAATTGACCATGAGTGAATGCGGAAGGTCCCCACCCCTGTTGGAATACAACAGTGTACTGCACAAGATGGGCCAAAGGACTCAGTATAAGGAAGCTTCTGTTGCATCTTTAATTGAGTACTTTTCTCCCCACATTGATTTTATTTATTTATTATATTAAACATCTAACAAATAATTTTACTTTTGAATGCTGTGGGTTATGGTTTATAGTGCTGTTGGTTTTAAGATTTCTTCTCTTATTGCTTTTCTTTCTTAATGCGACTTTCATTCACCACGCAAGAGAGCATCAAGCTCCGTATGATGTAAATTAAAAGAAACTCCCCTCTGCCTATTGATATCAGGCAGGCGTATGCCGTTTACTCAAGCTGGTGTGGATTTTGATCTCTTCGAGTATTCTGGTATGTTTTAACGTGTTGCAATCCCCCCCCCCTTTTTTTTGCAAACGGCGCTGCAAGCGGCGTATAAATCGCGCAAAAAACAAACGAATGCAAAATAGAGAGTCGCGCCTCCCTCCTCTTCCTTCTCTGAGGGGCGAGGAGGAGCTCGCGTGTGGGGCCTCCTCCCGGCCAGGAAGATGTGCAGAGACACGCCGCTCGGAGACGAACTGCAACCGGCAAGGGCGGGAGGAGGAGAAAAAGAGGTGGGGGGGGGTAAGAGAGAGAGCGCGCGCGAGAGAGAATGGCTCACTGCAGGCAGGCGGGATCTGGCTCCGCTGGAAAGGTGCCCTGAACAAAAACCCAGCGCGAGCGGGCAGGTGATGACAACATCGCCGCGCTATTTATGGCGCGTTGTGACAATCGCGGCCTTATATGGGCAAGGCGAGGGAGACCGGCGGGACGCGCGCTCTCGCCCTTGCTCTGGGAAGAGGGAGGCGCCTCGAGGGAGGGAGGCGCGCGCGCTCCCGAGCCCCGCGCCTGTCCGCTTGAGAGAAAACCCACTGACCTCGTTTCCTTGGGAAAATCCCTCTCAAATCCAGCTGCGACGAGAGGCGCCCACCTGACTCACACACTGTGAGTGTGCCGGATTTACGTATAAGCTAAACAAGCTATAGCTTCGGGCACCACTCTCTTGGGGCTCCCCCCCCGAAAATTAAAGGGGGGGAACCTGGATGTACATTTCCAAAATATAAGATAAAAAAACAAATAAAATAAAACCTACATACGGCAACAGTGGCAAATGGCTTTAGATACCTATTAGGTCCATAAATTACCATATGGCATATGTTCAACACAAAAAAGCGACAATTTGTTGTTGACAAAGGACAGCTGGACATATAAAGGGCCCCATTACCTTCAGTAGCTTAGGGCCTCATCAAACCTAAATCCGGCCCTGCTCACCGACCCACCCTGTGATCACCTTTTCCCCTACCTGGCCGCAAAGCACCACCGGATGCGCTGGCTTCGTTGATGCAACTGGATGCAGGGGTGGGGTGGGGTAGATCACCCTCTCCTTGAGGGAGAAAGAGGCTTCGCCAGAAAATAGTATTATTAAAAACAAACAAACAAACAAAAAACCCTTAGGCCCAGATCTGGTTGCCAACAGAGATTACAACACAAAGCAAGGAAGCTGTACTTTGCTTGCACTAATGACTGCCGAAGGAAAGGGCGAGGAAGAGGCATAGATAAGCCACATGCTCGCCCAGAGGTGGGCAAGGGTGGCCCTCCATATGTTGAGGGATGCCAACGCCCATCAGACCCAGCCAGCATGGCCATCAGTCGGGGATGATGGGAGCTGTAGCCAACAATGTCTGGATGGGGCAACGGTTATGAGTTTCAAGAGTCGTCTGCCCTCCTAGTAACCCACCCAAGAACATCACAGCTCTTTGGAAAGTTTAATTTCCCAAAAGGTTGGAAAGATTGCGCAAAGTGGGTGGAGTGGGGCTGACTGGATTCCCTCAGCAGCAAGCGAAAGGCGTTTTGCATATGCTCATAGACAGGCATATGTGTGGCATGATGGGAAAGCGCCCGACTCATTTGATAGTAGAAGTAAGTTGTCCTCTCTCAGCATCCCATCTGTAATGGGGATGATGACCCGTCTAATTTACAGGGTTGTTAAAAGATTGCAGCATAAAGATACTTAATAGTTTCCAGGTTTGAGTCCTGGCATGAAAACATATTTAGGGACAAAGCCCCAGTTCAATATAGTGTTGCAATCCATTGATGTCAGCGGGATTAACAACAAAGCCAATAGGGTCAAGAAGCCAGTTGGAAAGTCCAGCTCTTGGAATATAATGACTACTATTTCTAAACACTCCCACCTCCCTCTGAATTTTTGCCATTTACTTTTTTGGGAGATAACTGGCAAGACTCCTAGAGCTGAAAGGAGGTAGAAGGTTAGCAAGTCAAACCACTCTTCCCTGAAGTCCTTTTGTATTGGGGCTCCCAACGATTGAATAACACAATTCAAAAGACTATTGCTGTTAGCCTGCCATAGCAAAGCAAAACAGCCTTAATAGCTAACACATTTTTAGTAGTATGAGATTTTGTAGACAAGGTCTTGCTTCATCAGATGCAATTAATGAAGTGGAATCTTGCAAGAGCAACTCCACAAGAAATTTCATGTCATATGTTTCTAAACTTGTTTCCTCAAAAGTAAGCCTCTCTGGGTTCAGGTTTAAGCAGAAGCTCCACTTTGAAAGCTGAGGAACCTGAAGAATTTGCTAGTTGTTGTTGTTTTTAAGTCAAAACACTTTGTATTTAAGGGTAAAGACTTTCTATTGGGCAATAATGAAGAGTACTGCTTATAGAAGCCCAAAGTTATTGTAACAGTACCACAAGCACATAGCTTCAATAACATATACCGTATTTTTCGCCCTATAGGACGCACTTTTTCCCCTCCAAAAATGAAGGGGAAATGTGTGTGCGTCCTATGGGGTGAATGCAGGCTTTCGCTGAAGCCTGGAGAGTGAGAGGGGACGGTGTGCACCCACCCCTCTTGTTCTCCAGGCTTCAGGAAGCTATCCGCAAGCCTGGGGAGCCCGCGGGAGTTCCCACCGGGCTCCCTAGGCTTGCGGATAGCAGCCTGCATCTCGAAACCTGGGGCGCAAAGCGGAGCGCGCTCCGGGCTTCGCGCAGCTCTCCGCAAGCCATGGGAGCCCGGCGCGACTTCGCGCTGGGCTCCCACGGCTGGCGGAGAGCTGCCTGTTCTGGGGGCTGGGGTTGGGGGAAGCTCGGGCTTCCCCCGCCCCAGCCCCGTGCCTGGGGGGGAGAAATAATTCCCCCCCTTTATTCCCCCCCCCCAAACCTAGGTGCACCCTATGGGCCGGTGTGCCCTATGGGGCGAAAAATACGGTAAGCTGTATTTTAAAAAACACCATAGTACTAAGCCTTAACTTGTTAGAAAATGCCTTCCTGGTCATAAATATGACAAAGCCTGAGCATGAAGCAAAGCACATCCATCAGTTCTCTCTGCGTCCCCCTCCAAATACTAATTAGGGCACAAGTCCATTGCCAACTGACAACTAAAACTCAACCTGCTCTGCTCCTGTTCTTTTAACAGTTTGGCATGCAGAAATCAATAGAGGATTTTCTGGGCCTGGCTCTAAAACACTTATTGCCTGCTAATTGCTGCAGATCCCACTGCTGTTAAAGCTAGAAAGGCCAGCTCAAAACCAGGCAGCCTTACAAGTGCATCCCACCCAGTGTTTTGCCTTGAGTTGCAGAGCATATGAAGTAAAGGTTTTTTAAGGGGTGGTCCTGTTTGAAGCTGTGTGAACACATTCTGGATATGCAAGAACGAATGCCTGTGTGGCTTTGTCTATGTTATCTCGGCTCAAGCAGCTCTGCAGCTGGGCAGCCACAGATCTAGTTTCCTTTTGTGTCCCCGCAGAGATGTTTACATTTAAGCTAAGGTCTGGTCAGGTAGCTTCTACATTACTCATCTGCCAGTTATGATTATGCTCCTGCAACCTTGAAATAGTATATAAACCTTGCTTCCAGCTAGTGGGGAGAGATGACAGACATCACTGCTTTTGTATACCTCTACGGGCCTTTGCTGCTCTCATCCCACAGCTGTGAAGCACAACCTTTCAAAGCATGCAGAAAAAAATAAGTAGACTAATAGACTAACCAAATGTTTTAAAAATGGCATCAGTGTGAGAGAAAGAATCCAAGACACTGAGTGCTGAAGCCCGTGGTAATATATACTATATAATTAATGTCCTACTTGATAGTCTCTCTTTGGTGTTCCAGCACCTACAGCAGAGCTTAAGAAAAAAGAAATGATGTAAAAGGGTTTCTCTGAATCTCTTAAGAGTGGTTTGGAACCACTGATGTATGTCACTGAACAATAAAGAGAAAGACTTCTGTGATTGGACAGCAAGTTGCTGTTGTGGCGCCCTCCTTGTGGAATGCCCTCCCTTCAGATGTCAAGGAGATAAATAACTATACAACTTGTAGAAGACATCTGAAGGCGGATCCGTATGGGAAAGTTTTTAATGTTTGGTGTTTTATTATGTTTTTGTATGTGTTAGGAGACACCCAGAGTAGCTGGGGCAACCCAGTCAGATGGGCAGGGTATTAACAACAACAATATCCTTTTGCAGCAGCTGAAGTACAAAAAGCCACCACTACTCTTAGCAGTACAATCTCAGGACTCAGCTATTGTGATGTGAAATGCATCTTTGCAAATAACATCAGCTGCAGAGGGCTGATAGATAATTAAGATGAACAGAGCACAGAGTGGGGTGGTAAGTGTTAAATTCATCCATGGTGCTTGCTCTGAGATCCTGTTAATTATTAGTTCAGGTGGAATTGACGGAACAGCTGATGGAATTCACTTTTTTTATTTTAAAGCTTGCATGTTAAACGTAGTGCTGCATTCAATGTCATGCCTCTTTCGGCCGTTACACATGTTTGGCACTGGAAGCAAAATCTCAAAATAACCCCCTTCCCACTCATTCATTTTAATGAACCCAACCATGGAGGCTCGCTGCAGGAAAAGGGTGGAAGACTCTTCTGAAATACGCCAGAGCAATTGCTTGAGCCCCACCCTTCCCAGAGCAAGATGCCAAGGTTGCCTCTAGCTACTTTGTAGGAGGGCTTCTCCACACAAGCCCAGCACATGCAAACAGAGCAGACAATGCCATTTCTGGTTCCCACTGCTTTAGGTTGGGTTTTGTTGTCCTAGCGGAGTAACTTTAAACCAGGGTTCCCATCCCTGAAATAATATCTGCTGCCCCCTCCCCATATTTGGTGGTGCTGATGTTGAGGGCAACAGGAACATGAGGAAGAGTGTCTGAAACTGCAGCCAATCCCATCCAGTTCTGTGGCTCAAGAATTGTCATGGGGCCCCAGTTCCTTTTTATTCCCAACCTTCACAGAAGACATTTCCTCCCCTGCCTCTCCCCAGTGTCTCTTCCTACTGCTGTTGCTTTAGTTTAATTTTCATTTTGTTGCCAGGAGGTTAGGGGGATGTCAGAGTCAACATCTGCAATGGAGATAACATTCCTGCCTAATTAGTGGACTGTGAGCAGAAAGGACTTCCTGTCCCCTCCCCTTAAAGGACAGCAAAACCAGCTTACACTAGAGGAGAAGGAAGGTCCACTCTCCAGCTTGGTGATGTGTCCATCAATACACTCCAGGGAAACTTCTTTCTTTTTTTTTTTGCAGGGTCTCTTGTTTCCCACAGTCTGAGTTCATCCTCCTACCGCAAAGTTAGCAGTTGCTACTTGGAAACATATTTGGAGACTTAAGGCATTTTTAAGTGTCTTGGAACACCAGAAATGCTTTGAAGCTTTTTCCAATTCTGCTCTGTTATAGATACCCAGGCAAGGACTTTCCAGACACGCAAGGCATACCATGCAGGGGTGTTGCTAGATACTTATAAAGACTCTGGGCACCTAAAATGTGCCTATGCTAATATAGAGGTGTAAGTATAGTCTGACTTTCCAAGGAGAAGAGCAAACCCTGGTTCTTTCTACCAGGGCTTGCTTTAAGCTAAGAGGTGCCAGCAGGATTTTCTGGGCCTGGTCAGCAGGACGTCTTGCAAAGCACAAAGCCAGTGAGACCCCAGCTAGCCATGAACTTAATTTACAGAAGCTCCAGATCCACACACAGCAGCAGCCTTTGCCAACCTGGTGCCTCTCCAGAAGTTTTGGACAACTACTCCCAAACTGGACACGGTAGTTTCATTAGAAATGGATAGGACAATAAGAAAACGGACTCAAAAGAAGGTAGACTATCTTTGACTTTTTTCAATCTGGTGGGGAATTTAAAATTGACTGATGTTTGGCAATTTAGACACCCATTTGAAAGAGAATACACCCCTTATGCAAAGCCAAATCAATCTGCCAGAAGAATTGACTCAATATGGCTATCAAATGAGTTAATACTGAGAATAAAAAGAACTGAAATACAACCAAAGACTTTATCAGATCACAATCCAGTGTTATTAGAGGTTAAATTTAGGTGGAGGTTAAATAAAAGTATTCTAGATAATCAAGTAACCATGCAAAAAGCTCTCTCTTTTCTGATCTAAAAATTTAATAGTTGGCAGGAATCCTTAGGCTTAGTCAAATGGAGGTTACCTGAGCATTTCTCAGGCTGGCCCTTAAATCCACGTTTCCAGTTTCCCATTCCATTGCTCATTCCCGCTCAGCTAACAGCCAGACAAAAGTGTCTCCTCCTCCAATCTTGGTTTTGCAGAGCCCCTCCTTCCTTGTCTGTGTGCCCTCCATCCCTTTCTCTTGCACAATGACTCTTACCATCACAGAATCCCCTATGTGTTGTCTGTAGTTTTATGAACATTGTCTGTGTCACCGGTGAGTGCTGCTGTGAATCATGCATGACAGCATAGCTTCCATTGTTGCTAGGTTTGATTTCACTGCTAGGAAAGTGTAAGTGTCCCACTAACTTTACATCAGTGCCCGATAAGACCCAACATAGCGGCAGCAGCCATCTTAGCTGGACCATATGATTGCACTGAAAGATGTGTGAAGTGGTCTGAAATGCAGGACAGGAATTGCTTGTCTGTAGCGGCTCCAACCTCATGAAATTTGCTTTTACTACTAAGACCGCCCTAACCTGATGTTTCAAAGCTACCTTTCTGGGCAGGGAAGATCCATGGTACAGCTGCTGCTGCCTGCAGAGCTTCACTCGTGTTGTGGTGAGGCAGTGCGGTATAGTGGTTAGAGTGCTGGATGAGGAGCTGGGAGACCAGGGTTCAAAGCCTTACTCACCCATGAAACTCACAGGGAGACCTCACCCTAACCTTCCTGCTGTGAGGATAAAAAGAGGTGGAGAACCATGGTCAGTACCTTGAGTTCCTTGGAGGAACGTTGGTATATGAATATAATAAGGCCTCCCCCTGACATGACCCCCACAGCAAGCACCCTACTCTTGGTCCCTCCATGCTTGAAGAATCACAAGTGAGTCAGTACTGGTGGTAGATAGCTCAGGGGCTGCAGGCCTTGGCCCAGCATACCTGAAGGAGCCTCTCCACCCCCATTGTTCAGCCCAGACACTGAGGTCCAGTACTGAGGGCCTTTTGGCGATTCCCTCACTGCGAGAAGTGGTTACAGAGAACCAGGCAGAAGGCCTTCTCGGTAGTGGCACCCGCCCTGTGAAACGCCCTCCCATCAGATGTCAAGGAAATAAACAACTACCTGACTTTTAGAAGACATCTGAGGGCAGCCCTGTTTAGGGAAGTTTTTAATGTTTGAAGTTTTATTCTGTTTTTAATGTTCTCTTGAAAGCTGCCCAGAGTGGCTGGGGAAACCCAGCCAGATGTGTGGGGTAGAAACAACAACAACAACAACAACAACAACGTGTAGCAGGCAGCTCAGGCCTACAACCCTTCAATGCTGCTTCCTGCTCAATAGTATCTGCTGCCTAAGGCAGTTGCCGCATGGTGCCCAATGGCAGGGCTGGGTCTGGCTCCCTGTGATATTTAAAACAGAACCACTTCTCACCTGCACCAAAAATGTGTTGGCACTTCCAGGCCTAATGTTTCCGGAGCCAGCCATCCCCAGTCCTTTTTAGAATGATAGAGCTGGAAGGGATTGCAAGAGCTATCTAATCCAGCCTCCTACAACACAGGAATCAAGGGAAGTCTAATAAATTGCTAGGGGCACCACAAAATATGCCTTTTACAGAAGGAAAACTGCCAATGCTCAAAACCTCCTCCTGCCCCAACGGGACACTAGGTAAAACCAATGAAAGTCAGACAAACAAAGCCAGACCACCTCCCAAAAAAGAAAATTGGGTAACCCAAACGACGACAACAAACATTAAAAATAAAACTGGAAGGAGCAGGGCCCAGGGCAGACTTCAAGGGTGGTGTCTGAGGGTATTGTGGTGTCCACAGATGCCATGTTGGTGACCCCAGCTGTAAGCCATGCCACCCAACTCTTCTGGTTCTGCCTAGGCTTCTTAGCAGCCTCTTCCTGCTAGCATTGCCTTCCTCCCATGTCCGTCGCTCACAAGCATCTACTCTACTTGGAAGAAGCAAAGCTTGCATCTACACTACCAAAGCTCGAAACAAGTTAAAGTACTGTATGTCACTCTAAAAGGCTTGTGATTAGGGATTAATATCCCCAGGGAAAGAAGGAAAAATGTGGAGAGCTAGAGAGCATGTTGTGGATGCAGGGGGAGGCTTCCTGTCCATTGCCAAAAAGCTGTTTAATTATAAACACTGAACAATAGCTCTTCTTGTTTCTGGAGCTACTAAATCAGACACCTGCAGGGCTTGAAGGACGACAAGGACCTTCCTGCATGTGTGTCTGACTTTTGAAAGAAGAAAAAAAACAAAAAACACCCAGCAGTTTACATTCTGGTTAATCTTCTTTGTTCCCTGCTGAGTTAACAGTGAAGCGGAATATTTCAGCCTCAGAGAGGAGGATGTGGTTACTCTGCCCTGCCTCTTTGGAGATGTAGTCTCATCTTTCAGACATGTTTCTCTAAGCAGCCAGGGGGGTGATTTTCTGCATTAACCCTGAGTGAGCTCTTAGCCTCCTGCAGAGCATAGTTTATCCAGCGTTAGTCACTGCCTTAGGGGGAGACGCTGAGATCCTCCCATGATGCTCAAAAAGTACTGCATAAGACTGCTGCAGGACAGATTTACTAGCCAACTATTTAAGGTGCAATTAATTTCTACAGCACCCTCCTAGTTCAAAGTGTTTCGCAAACATCTGCCAGTTGGCACCGGCCATTACAACAGTTAAGCTTGCAAAATCATTTGTTGTCTACTCCCATCCCCAAATACAACATGTTGTTTCTGATTAGTACAGTATTTGATACCTCCGTGTCTGAAAGTATTGTTTCACACAGAAGGTCTATCTACCAGTGCTTTCCTTATCATCAAACCCCTGATGAGGGGTGTGAGCTTTTCTTACTGGAAACGTTTCTTCAGACTATATATGGTTTTGTTTTGATTTTTAAAAAAACACATATAAGATGTTGATAGATGGGGGGGTTGTGGTGAAGAAAAGGATTTGAAAGGATTTGCAGGCGAAAGATGGCACAGATGTGTGCGGCAAAAGAGAATGGAATAGAGCAGGGATGAAGAATCTGGGGCCCTCCAGATGCTGCTGGACTGCAACTCCCATAATTCCTGTCCACTGGCCATTCAGGTTGTGGCTGATGGGCTTTGGAGTCCAAAAATACCTAGTGGATGACAGGTTCCCCACCTCTGGAAAAGAGGACCACCCTTTGGAAAGACAAAAGCCAGCCATTCTCAGACTCTTAACGCTAATGTTAATTGGAATAAGACGTGCCGATGCCATTTACGTAACACACATATTTTGCATCATGTATACCAATACCTATATTGGGAATGTGCAATCTTGGCTTGTGTCTAGACTTAACCAGTGCTACAAAAACCTGTATGTGGGTCAAGCCTTTATTTCCCATGCAGAAGTAACTCCTGAACAGGGATTTCATTACATGCCAAGCATAAGCACTGGGGTGCCACAGGAACTTCTCGTAAATCCATTTCACCATATGCAAATTTAATACATGGCCTATGCCCAATCATTTGGCAAAACAAATCCAGGCAAGCACTCAGCAGCATCCTACAAATGAGAGGTGCTGCCTTCAGTAGCTGCAGGTCCATGGATCATATTGCAACCCCAATTAACCAGGTGCTTTCCAGATGAGTTTGGCTACAACTAGCATGGTCATGGTGGCTGCAGCTGATAGGAATTGTAGTCCAAAACATATAGAGGGCACCAGGCTGATGAAGGTGATGCACTGCGCTGCAGTTAATAATGTGTATTTAAACTGAATCCTCTCTCAAAATATTTTGGATGTGCTAGTCCACCAAGCAATTGGTCTTTCGGGGATACTAAATTCATTGGTTCTGAAGGACTGCCATCATAAGAGGAAAGCAGTCTGTTAAGTTTCCATAGGTACAGTAAAACTTACCATAGCAATTCATTTTAGATTCTATATATAGGCATACTGATGGCTGTGAACAAGGCCAATGGAAAGAACCAAAAATGCTGCGCTTGTTTTTGGTAGGTTTCCCCCTGCCTCCCCCCCAAATCAAGACTATATGACTACTTAGGTGTTATATGAACCTTCACTACACTAAAGAAGTTTCTAATCCTAGGTTAAATTGCTATGAACAGTGAGATCCTGCCCATAACACTCAGGGCTTTTCTACATTTACCTTTTGCCCTGCCATTTGCAGGCAGAGGTCAGAGCTTTAACGCTCTGTGTCTGAGTATTGAGGGTTTTGTGTGTGTGTGTTTTGTTTTTTTTGCAAAGAGCTTTCCCTGCAAAAACCTGCTCTTTAAAGCTGAATCAGAGCAAATGTCAATTTGGGTTTTCCATGGATTGTTGTTTGCTCCAACTGAACTTTAAAGAGTGGATTTTCACAGGGAAAGCTCTGGAGCAAAAAGAAGGGTGCTCGGACACAGAGCTTTAAATTGTGGACTGTGTCTGGAAAGAGCAGAGGAAAGGTAAGTGTTGATAAACCCTCAGATAGCAAGCTTCTAGTGCATAAATACTGTGTAGTGTCCAGCTTATAGGGGCAACTTGAACCTAGGCAATAACTAATCAAAACTTGGACAAGGCGGAGAAGAGTACTAGAAGAGAGATAGCTCAGACGGTAGAGCATGAGACTCAGAGTCATGGGCTTGAGCCCCACGCTGGGCAAAGATACCTGCATTGTAGGAGGTTGGACTAGATGACCCTGGGGGTCCCTTCAAATTCTACAATTCTATAATTCTAAATAGTCTTGTAAAGAGACTAACCACCAGCCAAGGACAATCAGAGATGGATATCCTATTAATAAGCTCATTGTGCTAGCCAGAGGCCATGACAGGTACATTATAAAGTTCCTAAAGGCAAACATAGCAATAACATAACAAACGTCAATAATATAAAGGAAGAAAAATCAAAAGTACCATCAGCTAGCTCAGCTTCAGATTTTAAACCCCAAGGCCTCAAAAACAATTGCTACAAATAACATCCTTCTAAGAGCAAACCCACTTCTCTTGAGTGCAGATCCTTACATAGCCAAAATAATACGTACCATTAACACACACAAAGGGATGGATTGGCAGATTTGAAGGAACCTCAAGATTTGCAGAAATACAAAAAAGTTTTAAGGAGGGGGGAGAGCTAATTGGGAGTAATCCCTAAGCAGCCCAGTGATGACTAAGTATGCTGAGTGACCACAGAATGCCAACTCATTGTTTGGGGTGAGGGGATGGAATTAAATATCCTGGGGGAAGGCAGGGCTGGGTCTCTGGAACCCCCAATGGGAACAATCCACTCCGCAACATCTTGTTGCAGCTTGCTTTTCTTTTATGTGATTTCACAGCCGACGGCTCTAACCACTGGGCTGTACAATCTCAGGCATAGTCAGGTTAAAACACCAAGGCTGACGGTCAAGGTAAAAAATATATGTATATAAAAATAAGCGAGACAGGAACATTCTTCCGTCAGCTATTTTAGGAACAGGAGGTTTCGAAGTCAGTAGTGCAGTGGTACATAAATTGTGATCACTGAAGCAGAGCAAAGCGTTTTCTGCAAAAGAGGCACACTGCCCTTTTTAGTAAGACAAGATTAAAACAATGCAAGCGGGACCTGCAACTAAATGTTACAGTGCATCCCCAGTGCCTAAGAGGAGCGTTCCTGTTCCAAGGCTTCAGACAACCTGGAAAAGGAGCCTTACAGTACTTCTGCAGACTTTGAGGAGGAGAGAGAAGTTACAGAAGTGAGGAAGGCATAAATAATGCCTTTCTCATACACCCCGCCCCACAGCCCCCCAAACCAAAAGAGGGCTAAAGGGTTGCTAGCCGCATCAAACCTGAGTATTTTATAGGTATCCAAGTGGGATCTGTAACAAAGTGTTGGAGTGTGGCTGCCAGCCAGCCACGCCCCTTTCCAGGGCACTACATCCTATCCTCTCTCCCAACGGTATGCCTGCATCTGGGCTCACTGAGAATACTGTCCTGATGGGGCTGTTTTTAAGTCTGCCCCCGCACTTACAATTCCCTTCCCCCTAAATATTTTTAGCACTTCTGCAAACCTCAGGGTTCCCCCAAACCTGCCAACACTTCTTTCTCAGAGGACCTCTTTGGCTCTGGGCCTGTCTGCACTGGTCACCTGAGATGGCTATTAGAGGGGGGTGATGACGTGTCTTAAGCTAAACTGGACAGAGAAGCAGCGCTGCAACTAAAAGGGGGTAGAGGGAAAACAGGACATCTCGAGAAACAGACTTACCCCTGTGTTTTCCATCCAAACCAGCAGGCAGTTTCCTGGGATGTATTTGCACAGTGTGTTGTTGTCTCCTGCCTCTCATTTAAGACTTCCCCACCCCCACCCCCTGGTTTCCAGAAACCTGAGGCCTTAGGCATGCACACAGGTATTTGTTTATCCGTGCACATCCAGCCCCACAGGTCGCCCACCCTCCCTGTGCCATGGAAGCCTGAGGTCCACTGCAGGGTTGCACACAGTCCCCCCCCCCCAAAGCTATAATTCTCGGCACCCTTAGCAAACGACAGTTTCCATGATTCTTTGTGGGGGAGCCATGTGCTTTAGATGCACGGCGTGTCATGAGAACTTCTGCCGACATGCTGCTTTAAGTGTTTTCCTTCCCAGCCGTGCAGCATGACTACAAAGGCCTTTTCGGTGGTGGCCCCTCTGAGTTCTGAGTTCCTTCCCCAAGAGGCTGCACCTGGCAACAATTTTACAAGTTTTTAGGTACCAGCCAGGCATTCTTAATCACCTGGCCATTTTTGTGTGTGTGTTGTTAATTGTTTCAATGTATATAGCTCTGAAAAAACTGAATTTGACAAAAGGGTGGCACATGTGAAGGCCAAAGAGCAGGCAAGCGCCCTTCTCTTGCTAGTAGTGATCAGCTAGGGCCCACAGCAATTCCTTTCTGCAGAGGCAAAAAGGGAGAGGCAATTAAGTCAGGGCTGGCTGCATAACAGTAGCATCTTTGCCCTTCTGCTTCTCTGACATTTTCAATTCATAACTCAAAAAGCATCCAAAGCCTCAAGAGATTTTAGGCCATTTTAAAAGCTGCTAGTGATTTGGAGAGGGCGAGAGGGAGGAGATGCATGTCGCTCTCTTTCTTCTTCGCTGAAATACTCACAGGTGCCCCCCCCCACTTTGTATTAGAAAGAATCAGCAATTGTGACTGTCACAAAGTGATGCACATATTAGGGGTTGCCAGTAAATCTCCAGCTTGTTGTACACGATACCACCCAGGCCCCTGAGCCTTGGAAGGAAGCGATAAAATAGCCAATTTATGCAGGCTCTTAAATACACAATGCAAAGTCACAGTGCCTGCAGCTGTTTTTTCCTGTTCTGTGTTTATGGCAGGGCACTGAAGTTAACCACTGTAGAAAACATACCAGGCCTGCTCCCCCTCCCAGACTTTTCCTGCAAGTCGCTGACAATGCCTCCCTTTGCTACAGGCAGGAAATGTGCCTGCTCCAACTATGCATAGCGCAAGCATGGAATTTGGCACCCAGGGCTGGAAATAAGTCTCGAGAAGCTAAGCTTCTATCCCTCATTGTCGCAGAGAACAGTTTCAAGCTGTGATGAAAACTCTTCAAATCTGAGACATGAAAGAGCATCAGGTCCCATGAATCATGGAGGCAGCCTTATTTAGATCCATTGAAGAAGCACAAGCCCTGCTAGATCAAACCAACAGCCAATCTGATCCAATAGCCTGCTTCCAGAAGTGGCCAACTGGATGCCTTTGGGAATCCCACAAACAGGATGTGAGTTCAACACCTTTCCTGTTCATGTTCGCCAACACCTGGTGTTCAGAAGCATGATGTCTCTGATCCTGGAAGTACTAGATAGTCAAGACTAGTAACCTTTATGCTCCATGAATTTGCCTATTCCCCTTTGCTTTAAGTTGGTAGCCAGCATACTTTACCTGCCCCCCCCCAAAGCCAGCATAGCCAGCATCACAGCTTATGGCAACAACAGTAGTGGCAAGTGTCCCTTGAGACTGGTGTAGCAGATAGCAGGGAGGTCAGGGGTGGGCAGAACCAAAGCGAACTAATTCTGATTTTGTCCCCATCCTCCTCCCTGCTCAGTTCTGCAGGAGGTAATACTGAGACTAAAGAGGAGGAAGCTGACAGCTAAGGTTGCAGTCTGGACTGGCAGTTGGAGGTTAGGGCAGACAGAGGCTGCTGGGCCAGAGCTCAAAAGGACCAGCCTCCTCTGGGTAGCAAGTTCCATCCTTTAACTATGCCCCATGTTGACAAAGCACTCCTCTATGATCTTGTCCTACTATGCAGCATCACTGGACACACTATGAGAGAGGAAGAAGAACGACTGCTCGCTTTCTCCAGATATCACCTCCAGGTTACCGATTGACAACCCTAAATCAGAAATAAGACAAGACCCTACTTTGGCTTTCAGTATTTTGCAACAAGAGAGAGCATTGTAGTTAGATGGACATTGGAGGGAAAACTCTATGGAGGCAAGACACCATGGCTTGCATTCCATGCAGCAGTAAGTACCGTATTTTTCGTCCCATAGGACGCTCCATCCCATAGGACGCACCTACTTTTTGGGGGGGGAAATAAAGGAAATTTCCCCCCCTTTATTTCCCCCCCAAAACCAGGTCGGGGAAACCAAACCAGTTCGGGGAACAAGGGTATGGCGGCGCTGCGCCTCCCCGCTGTCCCCTGAGCTTGTGGGGCTGGCCGATGTCTGCCCGGCACTAGGGGCGCTCTGCTTCAGGGTGCCTCGCGCAGCAGGCTGCTATCCGCAGCGTGGGGAGCCCTGCGCGAACTCCTGAAGGGCTGCACACGCTGCGGATGTCTGCCCGGCGCGAGGGGCGCTCTGCTATCCGCAGCCTAGGGAGCCCAGCGGGAACTCCTGCAGGCTCCCCAGGCTTGCTGATAGCTTCCTGAAGCCTGGAGAGCGAGAGGGGTCGGGGCGCACCGACCCCTCTCGCTCTCCAAGCTTCAGCGAAAGCCTGCATTCGCCCCATAGGACACACACAGATTTCCCCTCCATCTTTGGAGGGGAAAAAGTGCGTCCTGTAGGGCGAAAAATACGGTAATTGTCCCATCTGCACAAGGATTTACACTTGTGCAATGGGACGTTTCTCCTCCGCCTGCACATAGACTCATCAAATTGTAGAGTTGGAAGGGACCCCAAGGGTCATCTAGTCCAAACCCCTACAATGCAGTAATCTCAACTAAAGCATCCATGACAGATGGCCACCCACCCTCTGCTTAGAAATCTCCAAGGAAGGAGAGTCCACCACCGAGTGTGGGAGTTCCTTCCACTGTGAAGCAGCTCTTGTTGTCAGAAAGTTCTTCCTGACGTTTAGTGGGAATCTCCTTTCTTGTAATTTGATTCCATTGGTTCAAGTCCTACCCTCCAGAGCAGGGGGAAACAAGCTTGCTCCATATTCCATGCGACAGCCCTTTAGATATCTGTCTAGCCCCCTCCGCAAATCTGCTCCACAGGGTTGGGAGATCCCCCAGAACAGATTTATGAGGCAAGCAAAGGGTAGGAGGGTGGGGGGAGCTGATTTGCACAAGTGTAATTCCTCATGCTGACAGGACAGTTATTTAGCACTGTTCTTGATACAAGCCCATGCCCTTTCAAACCATTCCCAAGAATCCTTAATAACGAATACCTAACATTTTGTTTGAAGTTTCATCTACAAAATTTGATCCCCATAGCAAAACCTCTGTAGCAACAGTCAAAGACAAAATTAAGAGTCTGGCCTCCTCCCTCTTCCTGGCACCATTTCCTGAAGCTGGCTGGGCAGCCTCCTTGAGGACGCTGGCAGGAACATTGCTGCCTGGGCATTTAGGGCTGTCTCAAAGAAAGAGAACTCCTTTAAACCCTTTCTGATTGCCTTGTGCTGTAAGGAAGTGGGCAAAACTCCCTCCTCTCCAACAAACCCCTTCAGATCTTGACTCTGTACATAGAGAGAAGAGGAGCATGCTAAGAGCCAAGAAAGCGTTATGTGCAAAAACCAAGGACAAAAAAAATCAGCTTCATAAAAAATCTACATGTGTCTGCAACAGAAGCATCTATGAAGATAGCAGTGAGTGGTAACGAGCCTTTCATATTTGGTTTTTCAGGGTCAAAGCTACTTCCTCATCCAAAGAGAAAAAGGATGGGTGTGGCAGGTGAAGAGGCTGGCCACATGAAGGAAGCAGGCAGCCACCCGTGTGGTTGAAAACAAGACACTTCTAAGGGAAGAGCAGAAGGGGAGAAGCTGGGAGGATTTACATTAAATCACGGGTGAAAACAAAATTTTAAAAAACAGCCACTATGATCTAAAGGTTAGAGTAGTTCCAGCCTAAAGGTATGAATTCTTCACTCTGCTGTGTAACATTTCCTCCAATAAGGTTATGGCTTGAAATATGATTCCTTTTCAAATAGCTGAGGGTAGAACCATAAGGCAAAAAGGAAAACCAGACTCTGGCTTCTTTTAGCTGTGCTTCTTTTGAAACCTTTGCTCAGCAGCAGCAGGCTGTTACGTTAGATTGAGTTCCAAGACGCCCTAATAGCAATGGGCGGCTAGATCTAAAAGCTCAGCCTTTCCCATGTTTGCAGGTGTTTTCAATACAGGTTTGGCATTCTATAAACCATGTCTTGGAGGCCCAACTGGTGCAGTGGTCCACCAGTGAACAAAATAATTTTTGCTACGCAGCAAAAAGAAATTTAATAGCTTTCTCTGGGACATATTGACAAGTAGCTAGCTCAGCATCCTATCTCTCCCATATCAGCCATTTGCATGTTTTAAGGAAGAAGTATTCCTATCCATCACGCTCTCTGCCTCTGGCAAGGGTTAGCATCCCTGTTTAACAGGAAGTATGTAGCAGCCCAAGGCGCTGAGAAATCCCAACTACTGCCAGCTCCCACATTTTGACTGTTTAACCTCTAGGGCCATACTCAACAGAAACAGAGACTGCTTGGTCCTTAGAAAATAGTCACCAGTGTTTTTATTTTCTATGAATTTGGCATCCATGTTCCCAGCTGTGGTTATATTGTTTGCCAATGCACCACCCCCTCACTGAAGATTTCAAAGATGATTTACAAAGAAAGCATTTCATGTTCATCACTGAAAAACTTCAGGGCTGGCCTCTGTTCATGATGGTGGAATGGGCCATCTCAAGAACAGATGGGAAAATGTCATTAAAGTAGTGGTGGGGAATATGTGGACGTCAAGATGTTCACAGAATCGTAGAGCTGGAAGGGACCCCAAGGGTCATCTAGTCCAACCCCCTGCAATGAAAGAATCTCAACTACAGCATCCATGACAGATGGCCATCCAACCTCTGCTTAAAAACCACCAAGAAAGGAGAGTTCACCACCTCCCGAGGGAGATCATTCTACTGTCAAACAGCTTTTACTGTCCGTAAGTTCTTCCTGGCATTTAGTCAGAATCTCTTTTCTTGTAACTTGAAGCCACTGGTTCAAGTCCTACCTTCTGGAGCAAGGGAAAACCAGCTTGCTTCATCTTGCTGGATAACAAACTCCCATCATCACTGATTCCTGGCCAAGCTGGTTCAGGCTGTTGGGACTCCCCATCCCTGCCCTACTTTTGTCATGAAGACTGGCATCACTGCAACAGGCTGCCTAAGTATCTTCTAGTTTGATGAAAGACGGGTGATCCCAAGACCCTCCTTGCCAACACTCCCCTGCTCAAACCCACAACCGCCCAAGCCAAGTGGAAGGGCTTCAGCTTTCCTGCAGAAGGGAAGAACCTTCTCTCTCAGCTCATGAAGAATTATCTACAAAAATGGGAACGGAGCAATTACTAAAGCTGTCTTTATTACAGATCTACCAAAAAAAAAAAAAAAATGGGGGGGGGGGGAGAAGATTCCAAACAATGTTTCTCTTCATTTGGTTTATAAACAGCAGCGCACAGGGAGGGGTGTGTGTTGCAGCAGTGGCCAAAGAGAGCCGCATGATTAAAAAGTACCCCTGGACAGAGAGGGTGGGAAAGGACACAGACTGGAGAGATGTAGCAGGGGAACTGGTTTTTCTAAGGAAGTCTGCCACCATCTCTCACAGGCAGCAGCTACTAATTGTACAGGATCTGGACTGGAGCAGGATGAGGGAAGCTTCTCCCCTGTCTTTGCTGGGAGTCTTCCATTTCTTGCCACGGCTATTTGCAGACAGGCAGCAGGCTCTAGTCCTCTTCTCCCACAGAGTAACCAACCTTCCCATCAAGCTCAGAACCATGGCAGTTTGTCCCCACCTCCTAAGGAGAAGGCTGAGCTAGAATGGTGCAGCCTGTTCCCTCCCAAAACCGGACACTAGCCCAACTGCTCCAAGGCAGTTCCGCTGTCCCTCATCTCCTCCCAAGGAACTAGGCTTAAAAACAAAAAGGGGAAAGAGTCCTGGGGCATATTCACACACTTGGCCTGGGTTGCTCAAGGTCCCATAAGTTTCTTGAGGAAGGCTTCCAGCTGATCCTCATCTTTTATCCCTACAAACTTATCCACCACATCGCCGTTCTTCATAGCCAGGACTGTGGGCACTGCTGAAACCTAGGAACAAAGAAGGAAAGATAGAATAATAGCTGTGCTCCACTGACCTGTGAACATCATTTTAGAAGTCAAAGCAAACACTGAAACAAAGGTAGGACACTGTAAAAAAGGTGAATGATTAATGTTTTCTCATATTGGAGAGCTCCTAAGAATATGAACAGGATCACTTGGATTTGGGGTGGGGTGGGGGTTGTTTTAGTTTTAGAAAGATGACTGTCAAAGGCATACAGCTCCAGCATGGAGTTTGCATTTGGCAGAAAGGAAGTTTCTGCTGGTACTCTGCATGATAACAAATGCACTTTCCCGCTTGGAAAACAGAGTAAGGCAGGGATGGCTAACCTATAGCCCTCCAAATATGACTGGACTACAGCTCCCATCAGGCCCAGCAAGCATGGTCTGAGGCAAAGGTCAGGGGAAGATGGGAGTTGTAGTCCAACAATATCTGGAGGGCCACAGTTTTCCCCATTCCTGGACTAGAGGGAAGGAGGAGACTGCCCCAGTGTGAAGCTGCACTGCCAGTTTTCTGAAAAGCAGGCTCTCTGGTAGAGGAAGAGCTGACCAGGATGCACTCTGCAGCTGCTTAAAAGCTCACCATGCAGTTTGTGTAGCTGTGCAGAGGCATGGCATCTGACTGTCACCTCTGACCATGTGGTAAGAAAGTGTTACTTCCCCCCACTCCCTGCCTAGTTGCACAGGTTTATAACTGCACAGAACTTATAGTACTGCTGGAGGGTTTATGGTTATAGCTTTCCAGACAGGAAGCTTTTAAGCAGCTCCTCCTTGGCTCCTGATCATCTATTTCTAGCTTGCAACTGACATCAAGTTCACATACAGGAATACTCCAGTTCTGCAGATGTCATTGCCTGACTTCTTATCCCTAAATATGGTTTTAACTGTGCCCAAACAGAAGCGGAGAGAAAAATGGATGTGTCCCTCTTTGCGGTGTCAAAGTGGTCGAAGAGTGAATATGACAGACTTACAGCATCCAGGATATACGTGTGTGTGTGTGTGCTTTAGATAGAGGAGGCTCTACATTTGCTTATTTTGTACAATCATTTCTGCCTGTCACAAGGAGGGCACTGAAGCTCTGTCCTCTGGAATCCCACCCCTCTGCCTTCAAAGGGTTGGCCAGAGATTCGCTACGCGGTTTCAAACCTGAATTTGCATCCAAAGTAACTAACATGCTTTATATCAGGGCTGGGGGAATCCATGGCCCACCAGATCTTGTGGGACTCTCCAACAGTCCCAGGCAGCATGGTCAATGGCCAGGAACGATGATGGGAGCTGCAGTTCAACATCTGGTGGGGGGGGATATCCAACCTCTGCTTTAAACACAGACTGAGGCCTTCTAACTTCTTAAAGGGTAGAGCACAACTACTGAATACACATAGCCCAGCCACCAGTATATTTATTTTAAGAGTGGTGAAGCAGAACACCAGAAGGCCACATTTGTACCATACATTTAAAGCACCATGATACTTCTTTTAACAGTCATGGCTTCCCCGCAAATAATTATGGGAGCTGCCATTTGTTAAAGGTGCTGAGAGGTTATAGGAGGTCTCCTATTCTTCTCCCAGAGTTCCCTGGGAAGAGGGCTTGACTGTTAATCCACTTTAAGAATTGTAGCTCCGTAAGAGGAATACAGGGTCTCTTAACAACTCTCAGAACTCTTAGCAAACTACAGCTCCCAGAATTCTATGGGGGAAGCAGGGACTGTTTAAAGTGGTATTGTAGCTCTCTAAATGTATGGTGTGAATGTAGCTCATGTTTCTGGAGTCATGCTACACCCCTCCCCCTCCTGCAAGTTGCCTTATTGATCTATCAGCTTCTTACTGCCCAATTTTGACTAAGGATTGAGAGGACAGCCAGGGATCAGGCAACAACAGGAAGAGGATCTGCAGGGGCTTGCTAGCTGAGTACTGCAGGGCCCAGTGCTTTAAAACCACAGGCTACCCCCCCCCCACATGTGAGCAAGCCCATTAAAGTAGTCCAGAGACTGACGAGAGAGGAATTTGTAAATATTTCAGAAGGGGCTGACACATTCCACAGCTCCCCTCTGGCGCCCTTATCTGCAGACAGCTCAGCCACTGGGTCCTGTCCTATCCTTATCTTGCCTGCTGTCCATCCCTGGAATGTGCTTTCTCATCAAACATGCTCCCAGCTGCGCTGCGTCTTGCAGCCATCAGCAATTTGCCACACGCAAAGCTTCCCCAATGGAAAGCCCTGGGAGATCTGGCTTCTCTTTTCCACCAACACTCTGGACTCAGAAGGCCTGTTTCAGCTGGGCCCCAGCCTTTCCCCTCTGCTGGCCAATGCACTGCAGCTCCTTAAGAGTGCCACATCCTATGGTTACTCCAGGATGTGTGTGTGTGTTTTTTTTAAAAGAAAAACCTAATGAAGGCTCAACATGCAACAGATTATAGATTATGGTTAACTGATGTTCTTTAGTGCCCTCTAGGGGACAACTATAAAAATTCCTGGGCCCTCAAAACACTCCCAGAAAGCTCCTCTTTTCTTCATTTTTAGAAAGAGCCAGATGCTTTACTTGTGGGGACATGTGGGATGCAAATAAGCAATAAAAGCACTTTATAGAGTGAGGATCCAGTACCTTATTCTCCCCATGCCCAAATTGCAGCCACAAAGCAGAGAGCAAGCTGTATATAAAAATGGTCTGGGGCAGAGCAAGGTCTCCTGGGTAGAATGCAAAGAATGTTAACTGCTGAGTCACTCTTCCCATCCACAGTTTAACACTACAAGGACTTTTTCTATGCTAGGCATAAATCAATAGAGTGTGGAACATTTAATCGTTCCCCATCCATACCAAGACAGACTCAAAATCTGAATTTAATTCCTGACATGTGAAAAATATACGCTAAGTAAAGGACAAGCAGCTAAGGCCCTCCATTCTTTGAAAACTGGCAAAGACTCCTTAGAAAGCTGTGATTAGGGTTTGAAACTGAATGAAGGTCATAAGAAGATATTAGGCAGGAGGTTTTGAGTATTATGTATGACCTTTATAATTATATGCTTGACAGTGCAAGATGTGTGTGTGTGTGTGAGAGAGAGAGCGAAAGAGAGAGAAAAGTTCAAACCTACAAAAGTTCGATGCCCAGATTTCAAGGTAGGGCTGGGAATGTCCTCTGCCTGAAATCTGAGTGAGTTACTGCCAGCCAGTTTAGTAGACAATCTTCACAAAAGTCTAACTTGATATAAGGCAGCTTCCTATTTTCCTATGATTTTTGATTCATGGCTCGTAAGTGTTTGCTATTTTAAGAATTTTAGGCAATGTCTTTAAACGAGCAGCAGCTGACCCACTTTCCAGCTAACCCCATACCCCATGAGGGGTGGATTTGTTCCACTTCTTCCCCCAAATGCCACTAGAGGGGCTTCTGAAGGAGCATAATTCCTCGAGGGAAGACGAGAAGAAACAGAAATAGCTTCTTTGTGCCAAATAGCTGCCTTGTAGGTTTTAATTTTATAATCAGTGCTTCTTGCCGTAATAGGTTTATTCAAACAGCTTTCGTTGGGTCCACCTGAAAGGCAGCATATAAAATAATGATTGGTTACAGGTCACGTTGTTGAGGTGGGACATCAGGACTCTGGGCAAAGGAGACCAGAAGTTCTCTTTGTTCATTCCACTCACAGCACCATCTGTAAATCACCCAGCGGCTGTGTGAAGAGAAGGGTCACCACTGGAACACTATTGACTCAACTGGAACATAACAAGGGATAGTGGCAGCAAGCCAAAGTTAAGAGGCGGTGGGGAAACTGAAAGAGTTCAAGGCAAGGTGGCGGCAGGCTGAGACAGGCCCCTCTTCCTGCCTCTCTGGGAGAAGTTGCATAGCAAGGAGGGGCCCCCGGCCTGAAAGAGGGAGAAAGGACCAACTAAGCAAGAGGAAGAGACATGGGCAGGGCCGGCCCATCCGTTTAACAAATGAGGAATTTGTCCCAGGCAATAAACTAGGTCAGTTGGAGATGCCTAGCCATTTCACCAGGAAGCGTTGAAGAAGAAGATGCAGCAGCAGCACCAGGACTTTGACCCAGGGTGTCCAAAAGCCTTCCCTATTTGGGAATCAGGAGAAGGAAGCTCTGGTCAGAGCTGAATCCCTTCTGGGAAGAATCCCTGTGAAATTTTTTCGCAGCAGGAAAATACTTCATGGATGGATGCTCCATTGGGACAGCTCCGGAGCCCAGGGCAGGTCAGGGCCTGCGCGAAGGAATGTACAGGCATTCCAAGGCTCACAGAGGGGGTCCCTCCCTCCCTCTCCCTTCCAAAGAATCTGCCGCAGCAGAAAAGTTGTTGTGAAATTTCCAGGCTGAGATGGTGGGCCGCTGTCTTGTAAACAAGAGCGAGGGAGGGAAGACTGATAGGAGCGGGAGATTTACTGCCCATTTGCATGGAATCTGCAGGACTCAAAAAGTCCAGCAAAGTAGAAAATTGTTTAGGATCTTAAGGCCACAAACTAAAAAGAAGCAAAAATCATTTTGCCACATGAAGACGTCTTATACAAAGCACCAGGTTGCTGGACTTCTAGCCCAGCATTGCTTACTTCAGCTAGTAGTAGCTTTCCAGGATCTTAGGTGCCTCAGCGCCTATTAACTGGAACGCTTTTAATCAGCGATACAATATGGGGCTTTATTCCTGAAAAGCGTACACTCTTTCACTAAGCTATGGTCTTGCCTTTAAGTGAGAATGTAGAGGGAGGGCCAAGCATAGCTTTTCTTGTTTTTAAAGTTTCCACCACCAATTTCCACTGCCCCTCTACCCTTCTCAATTTAAGTATCAGACAAAACTCTTCTTGTGTCCTAAGCATCAGAGGAAAGGACCAGCCTTCTGTAAAGCTCTGCATATTGAATCTGGTAGCTGATACAGAAAGGATTCTGTAAAAAAAGAACAAACCAACTAAAAAAAAAAGGGGGTGGGAGTTAAGAATAACAGAGTTGTAGAGCTGGAAGGGACTACAAGGGTCTTCTACCCTCCACAATGGTGCAACCCCCTACAAGGAAGAAATCTTTTGCTCAACAAGCAAACCCACAACCCTGAGATTAAGAGTCTCATGCTCTGCGGATTAAGCTATCCCAGCTTGTATGAAGAAATAAATTCTAGGCTTACTGTTATCTGGAAATGGGTCTTGGAAATATGGCTTTCTTTTGCAGGGAATGAGCATATCTGCTTATGATTACCTTGGTTACAAATGCTGTTCTTGACTCTCTGTAGTCCTGCCACCTTCTAAAGCCAGGGGTAGCTGATGTGCTGCCTTCCAGATGTTATTAAGACTCCAACTCCCATCATCCCAATCACTGGCCATGCTTCCTGGGGCTGTTGGGAGTTGGAGTCCAACGTCCAGGGGGCTAGCCTGGTTCTAAGCCATCTGATGCCTGCCTGCCTCTTGGCATCCTCCATAATGCAACTACTCTTCCCACACAGTGACCATCAAGAGTTGGCTGCTCCAGGGTCTCTTCTATCATCACCCAGGGATTCTCTCCCCGCAAACAAAGGCTTCTTGCACCACCGGACCTTCATCTCTCTTCTGCCACAGCTCCCCTATTAATTTATTGAATAAATCCATCTTCTGTCACCACTCTCTGGTTTATCTCAGTCAAGACCATGAGTCCCATTGAGCATCCTTTACCAGCCTGGAGCTCTCCAGATGTTTTGGACAACTGTGCTGGCTGGGGCTGATGGGAGTTGTAGTCCAAAACATCTAGAGGACCCCAGGTTAGAAAAGGCAGCTCCTCCTAGGTTCCTAATCAGAACAAATGAAGAGCAAACCAAGTTGTTCTATGCAACTCATATTCTGTATATTTCTTAGGAGGTTTATGAGCACTTACCTCGTATTCAATGGCTAAGTCTGTGTGGTCGTCAATGTCTACTTTTGCCATCAACACCTTCCCCTTCTGTTTGGCCACAATCTTTTCTAGCCTGGGGCCCAAGATCTTGCAGGGACCGCACCACCTCCAAGGAGAGAAAAGAAATTAAGAGTTCAGTGAGGGAAAAGCAAAGGCAGCAGGAAAAAGGTGGTGAAGCTTTTCAAAACACTCTGAACTCCTCCCCTATTTTCTGGGGTGAGCTTGCCTTTAATAGCTGCAGGAGAAACCCTCTTAACTTTAAATATCAAGCCTGATATTGATTAAATTAAAGAACAGCATGCATGTGCTGGGCAGGTTTACAGCAGTTTTAACAATTCAAAGCCCCGAGCTACAAGGAGCACTTTACAGACAGCTTGGGGTGTTTTCCTGCAAGGGACACTCAAAGGTACGTTTGAGCCACTTTCATGCTGTTTTGTGCCATAGGGTGAATGTGGGACAGAAAGCAGGAGAACCCCATTTTCACTGAGCCCTTTAAAAACCCATTACAGTGGTACCTTGGGTTACAAACACCTCGGGTTACAAACACTTTGGGTTGCAGACTCTGCTAACCCGGAACTAGTACTTTGGGTTAAGAACTTTACCTCAGGAGGAGAACAGAAATCGTGCACCAGCGGCGCAGCAGCAGTGGAAGGCCCCTTTAGCTAAAGTGGTACCTCAGGTTAAGAACGGTTTCAGGTAAAGAACGGACCTCCGGAACTAATTAAGTTCATAACCAGAGGTACCACTGTATACATTCTAGCCAATACAGGTGGTCTTATATTCCCTTTACAAAGTGGTCTAACATCTGCCAGAGAGAGCCCTAAGGGTTAAACAAGAGTGAGTTTGCACACTGAAGTTGCCATGTGATCATTCTGATTAAGGCATGAGCTCCACAATGCAGCTTTCTGTAACCTGGTGCCCTCCAGATGTTTTGAACTACAAACCCCATCAGCCCTGACCTTGGCTGCGCTGGTTGTGGATGTTGGGAGATGTAGTCCAGTAATATTTGCCGGTCACCAGGTTGGGGGAGGCTGCTGTAATGTGTCAAACTATAGCCTATCACATGCTCAGGGAAGATTGATTTAACACTAGGCTGTTTCCTAAGAACGGGAGCACATAAAAATTGTAGCTCATCACCTAACTGAACCCAGGCTCTCACACAGAGGTGTTTGGAAAACATCTTGGAACCCTTTCCTTATGCATACAGAAGCCAGAGCCGTAAAAAAGCCCCAGATATACCACTACATGTGAGGATCACACAACAACTATCTGTTTGGTCCAGAGTACACTCATTTAGGATCCCACAGCTAGTTCTCAAGCACTGTACCTTGGGCTTAATAGACCTGTGAGTTATCGCCATACAGGACAGTTTTCACAGGTGCTGTTTTTTCCTACACCAGTTTTGCACCTGAGCAGAGGAGACTTCATGTATCAAGGTCCCTTGCAAAACATACCTCAACAAATTTTGTACTGAGTCAGAAGTACGATAGTGAATGGATGCCTTTGCGCCATTTGGGTTATTAAAAAATGTAAGCATGCATTGTTTTGCTTGGTTTTGTTGAAATCAATACAAAAATAAAAACAATATTTTGCCCTTTCAAAAAGAAGAGCATGGGATGGGGGGGGGGGAGGGAGAAAAAAACCCCTCCTAATCCTTGATGCAATGACACCTGGACCAAGCTATTCCATGCCACACCTACCTTCGTCCCTTCAGGGCTGTCTGGGACTAACTGCTTTTGAGCTGGCATATTTGGAATGAAGGTACTGCGGAAGTCAGCTAGCTCCCACTGCTTCCGTGGTCGCTAAGCAGCCACCCCCACAGTGGTTCTCGTCTCCTTCCTCTCCCCCCAGATCTGACATGGAAAGTGTCTAGCAAAACAAAAACTCCAATAGCATTTGAGAGCTGCAGGCAGACTCTTGACACAGTTCAACCAAGTTAATTTTTAAGACTGTTTTGATCTGAAAGGTCATGTAGCTACAAAGATGTTTGCAGTCTCTCTTTATTGCTATGGAATAGCTCTAGCTATATTGCAAACAGCCACCACCTACACAATAAAAGCATAAAATAAAAACCTTTCAGCATTTGCTATTGACGTAACAAACGAACAGGGAGATGCAACCCAGCAGCTGCATATTTTGGTTGCATGTAATTAACATAATTCAAGTAACAGAACAGGGAAGATGCCAAATTACTATTAGTGGACATGTTGCATGTCACTATCACCCTACAAGCACTTCATAGCTAGAAGGGGACTCAGAGGACTGGACCATCCACACCATTTATCCAAGGTGTGCATTTGTGCACATTGTGGTCTAATACACACATGAACTAGTGATCAGGCAGGAACTGATGCTGACAACTTTAAGTCAAGGAGAAACAAAACCCTCTGCACTCACTGGGCGTGGAAATCAATCACCACCGGCTTCTCACTCTTCAGAACTCTGTCTTGGAAGTCATCCCCATCCTGGATGTTAAAGGTGTGCCTGAAGACCAACGTAGTGGAAAATGTCCTAGTAGTTGCAGGCACAGTAGTGAAGGGGACGGGCAGGCGCCAGGTGAGATTGCAGGGCGCAGCCGAAACCCGGCAGAGAAGCAAAGGTGGCTGGGAGCGGAGTGGCCCAGAGAGAAGCTTGGCAGGGATGGAGAGGAATGGCCTGAGGAGGAGCTTTTGGGCCATCTGCAAAATGAAAAACAAAAGCAACACAGTTGGGGGAAAGTCAACAGTGGGGGCACTTGCAGCTTCCTGAACTCTGCTGGTGTATTCCCACCACCAAGACCATGGCAGACCTAGCTGTTATTTCACTGTTTCCTTCCCTTTCCAGTCAATTTCAAGGATCCCCATTCATGCCCCTATCTAGACTCCACTGTTGCCCATACTCCTGCTTCCTAGGTTCCCAAGCTTTTACCTTATCCATGCCCTCCAGAATTTCAGATACACCAATCATATTTACTGCACATACAGCACACACATCAAAGTGTTGGGCTAATGAAGAGTAAGAAGGGCAGGCCCTACCTGCAGGCTCACCATTTAACCTAAACTACCTTTTGGGTTACAATCTTATCTACTATCTTTACCCTTCAGCTCAGTCTCACTTAAGCACTGTCAGATCACATGTCAGCATGAAGGGCATACTGGAATTATAGTGAATGAAAGAAAAGATCGCCCTTTAACTCTCTGGACAAATATGCAGTCATTCAAACCAGGGGGTAGCTCCTCCCAGTGCAGGCTGGTCCATTAGAGCAAATCTCAGTATGCCCTCAGCCAACTTTCTTCTTGCTTACAACCAGTCCAGGGGGTGGTACTGCCTGTCACCTTCCTCCTCCTGGGTCTCAGTCCTTGTAGAATGCAGCAGGTAGGAGGACTGGGCCAAAAAGTAGTTGGCTCTCCCTGTCATTGGCTCTGGGCTCCCTTCTACCAGTCCCAGTGTGTACCAGCCATCACTGATGCTCCACAGTCAAATCACACTTTTAAACCTTCCTTTTTGGTTGCTCCTGCCTACTCCAGTCCTGTAATTCTAGTCTAGTCCAAGCTGGTGGATACCAGTCTTTTTACTGAATAGTTCTTATTTGCAAGAAATGTCCTCTGATGGCCATGGTGGGCCCAATTATCATATTGGAACATCAACATCTTCCTTTCTGTAGCACACTATTACCACTGTGATTTCGGCTGGGTTTCTCAGTGTGGGAAAATGCTTTACCATTCTGATCCTAACAACCTGTGAGACACAACCGATTGTGTGATAGGTAGAAAGCAACCTGCCCAACTTCATTTTTTGGTTATGCTTAAAATTCATTACCTGACAACCACAATCCGGCTGCTCAACTAACACTTATATGCACCAACTGTGGTACAAACTACTGTAGTACAGCTAGTCACACTTAGCTCTTCTGAGTGTTCAAAACACTTGACATGTATTCTGGGAAAGCTCAGTCAGTATAGCATAAGACTCTTAATCTCAAGGTTGTGGGTTTGAGCCCCACATTGGGGGAAAGATTCCTACATACCAGGGGGCTAGATGACCCTCACGGTCCCTTCCAGCTCTACAATTCTATTACTCATTACTTCAGCAAGCTTCACAACAGTCCTGTAAGATTATTATCCCCACAGCAGCAAGACACTTCCATAGGGGCTAGTAGTATGCAGAAGAGGAGGGCATTTTCACCAATCTCAGATAAACAACAACACTAAGCTACCAAATTTCTTGCATCAACAGGCTGGACTAAATGACATATGAGGTCCCTTCCAAAATACTCATAAAGGATGCTATGGGAAAATTGTTATTTTATTTACTGCCTCAAAATATAAGCAGAACACAAACACTGTTGTAGTTTTCTTACAACTGGAGTGCATTCGCAAACAATATGTTTTCTTTAGCACTTTATGAGGTTTGCCTCTTTGGTTAGTTGGTTGGTTGGTTTGGCCTAGCACCACCCACCTACCTTGAAACAAATTTTGATTGCATCTGCTTCAAAATGTGCTTTCCTAAAACATATTTACATGCAAGAAAGGATGTTTTCTGTAACAAACCACCTTTTATAAAACATTTTAACTTTCAAAACACTAAAGTTTGCAAAATTTAGTGCAGCTGATTAAAAAGATATTTTCTTAAGTAAAGGCAGGCAATGTTGCATTATTCAAATACAATATTAAAACCCAGAATTAGGTAAACATTTGTTGTTGTTTAGTCGTTTAGTCGTGTCTGACTCTTCATGACCCCATGGACCAGAGCACGCCAGGCACTCCTGTCTTCCACTGCCTCCCGCAGTTTGGTCAAACTCATTATTGACATGCAGTTGATATTTAACTGCCCTAAATGCATTGGAATATAACAGAAGGATATATATTGGATATATATTTCTCACCTTCTGTCCTACCCTGGTTACCCTCCAGGCAGCTTAATTCCTAACCAAGTTTGCCAGCTCCCCCCACCTTTAACTTTGGCACCTATATGCCAAAGGGAAAAAAATAATAAAGAACAATTTGACAGGGCAGAAAAGTGATGAGAAAAGTTCCATTTGTTACACCCCTGTGCATTTGGTAATCGGGAAGGAGACGGGCGTTTTTCTGAAACTGAGCTGGCAAGGCTGCTTCCATTCCACATCTCTTCTTATTTTGATTTCTAGAACAGGAAGAACTGAAGCTCAGAATCTAACCCATGGCCTCAAGACTCGCGATCTGAGAAACCTCCTCCGCCGGCCTCAACCAGAGGCTGCGGTTACGGAAGGGTGAGAAAAGCGCACTCTGCACGTGTTCAGAGGCAATCTCGTCTGCTCTACAAACTGGTTGAAATGAAGCCCAGCTTATTAGTGCCGCTTAACTAATTGCCATCCTGGGCTCTTTGGTGGAGGCGGGATAATAATATAAGTTGAAGTAACATAATAATAATGGTAACCATCATAAGTAATTCACGTTTCACTTGAGCTCCTCCATTTCGTCTACTAGCCCCTCTCCACTCCGGTCCAGCAGAAAAATGTTACTCGTGAGTAAACAGGCACAGGCCCCCATCTGCTGTGCAGCCGGGTCAGCGACACCGCCGCCCCCCCCCCCCCCCCGCGCGACCTTCTCCCTTCCACCTTCTCACCTTTCAGCCCCTCTTTACAGTGTCTCGCGGCCGCCACACTGTGGAATCAGACGGGCCGGACTCTCCTACCAGCCGATTGGAGCAGCCGTGGGAGGAATGTATGCATTCTGGCTGGCTGATTGGCTGGCGAAAGGGAAGCTGTTGAGAAACCTGGGACGTGGTTGGGCTAAGGAGGGCGCGTTCGGCCCTCAGAGGAGCGCGTCCTCCGCGCGCTTATTGGTTAAAACGCAGCCGCTCCGAACGCTGGGGAGTTGGAATTTTCACGCAGCCTCGGGTTTGATTGGCTAAAAAGCGCCAGTCAAAAGCAGGAATCTGCGTCAGCGCTGTGGCCTCGCTCCTCGCATCGGGAAGCCAAGGTCAGAGTACACAGGATGTGCTCAGGGAGGTGGTTCCCAACTTGTTCATTTCGGGGTTAATAATAATAATTTATTATTTACACCCCGCCCATCCGGCTCTCCTAAGAGCGCACCGTTATCTTGGCTTAAATCAGTTAAGCTGCAATTTTTGTTTATTGTCAGACGCTCTATCTGTCTGTCTGTCTGTTTGTTTGTTTGTTTGCTTACTTATTTGCTTACTTACTATACCGCCCTTCATCAGAGGATCGCTTTGATTGTTAGAATAGAATAAAGCAGGGAGGGCAGAAGGCTGATAGGAATCTATTTGTAGATCTTGGGGGTGGTTCGCAGTAGATTGGCAAAAGGTTTCAGATTCTCAGTGGGAAAGTAAAACTTCCTATACAACCCAGTACTGTGCTGCTGCTCTCTGGCAGTGCACGCTGACGCTAGGACGGACGACTTTTTCCCTACCATTACATTACTACATAAAGTATCCTCAGATCTAAAGGCGAGCTACAGTGTTTCTCCATGAACTTTTATGGATTTTCAGGGCTTTTTCAGAGAAAAGAGTTATCCATGAAGTTCAAAGTTTTAGGTCGATTTGTGAAAACTACGTAGCGACACCTGTGCTGTGCTCCCTACACTCGTGTTTCACTGTGTAGCCATTTTTGATACACAAAGTTTGCCCATAGAAAACAATTAAAAACTGCATTAAAGAAAACAAAACATGGTGACGTCTTTGCTTATTTGATTCCTTGTTTATTTGGAGGTGTGAAGAAGGTTCAAAACAAGTTATATGGGGGACGGGGTGGGCAGGTGTGGAGGACTCCCTGGTCCTGAATGGGATAACTGTGCCCCTGTGTGGCCAGGTGCGCAGCTTGGGAGTCATTTTGGACTTGCAGCTGCCCATGCAGGCGCAGGTCAGTTCTGTGTCCAGGGCAGCTGTCTACCAGCTCCATCTGGTATGCAGGCTGAGACCCTACCTGCCCGCGGACTGTCTCGCCAGAGTGGTGCTTGCTCTGGTTATCTCCTGCTTGGACTACTGCAATGTACTCTACATGGGGCTACCTTTGAAGGTGACCCGGAAACTACAACTAATCCAGAATGCAGAAGCGAGACTGATGACTGGGAGTGGCTGCCAAGACCATATGACACCAGTGCTGAAAGACCTACATTGGCTCCCAATATGTTTCCGAGCACAATTCAAAACCCTAAATGGCCTCAGCCCAGTATACCCGAAGGAGCGTCTCCATCCCCATTGTTCTGCCCGGACACTGAGGTCCAGTGCCAAGCTTTATGAATCACCCTCCCCATTCCATAGCTGAGCAAAGACAGACACTACTTTTGTTGGTGGGGTTGGAAAACACTTTTTTCCTTTTAAAGTTCATCACAATAATACAACCATACAAAACTTATATGCAATATACTACACCATTACAACAGCTGATCCATTTGATCATGACATATATCTTAAAATAAGTTAATAAAAATACTGTTCTGAAAAAATGAACATATAAAAAAGAAACTGCGACTTTCCCAGTCTGCCACAGGACCACTAATCTGTGCAAATAATCTGAATGTGACCTAGGCACTGACAGCAGAGTAATGGGTTGCTGAGCTACTCAGGTATTCTAACCTGGCAAACAGCAAGGGCATAGTCTCTATGGAGTAGTAGCAAAGCCCATCCTCTCTGAAGAATGTCTTGCAAAATCACTGATTTTGGTAAACTCTGGCTTTGGCTGGTGAAGCAATACTTTTGCAATCTCCAGCCCTAACCCCTGACACATTGTATTAATTTGAGCCTTGGCCATGATGAATCTGTGTTCTGGGTTGAGACAGCTGTACTGATTACACTTAGGAAACAGCAGCAAAACCTGGAAGAAGAAGATTGAGGGTGGTATTCAACTAAGCCTTAGACCCATTACAATAGACCCACTGAAATGAATAAACATGACAGTGGAATAGACTACTTTGGAAGGCGATGGACTTCCATTGGACGTTTTGAAAAAGAGGTCGGATGGCCATCTGTCAGGGATTCTTTAGCTGTGATTCCTGCACTGCAGTAGGTTGGACTAGATGACTTTGGGGGCCCCTTCCAACTCAACAATGATTTTAAGTCAATTAATTTCAATGAGTCTACTCTGAGTCAAGCTTAGTTGACTACCAATCTGAGTACCTTGTTAAGGATGATAAATGAAACGCTGAGAGGAATGGCGGTAGCTTGATAGTGGCACACTCTCAAGCGAGAAAGTTCTGCAGGTTTCTGGTGTGGCCTCAGGTTGAACTGAACAAAGGCGATCCCCTCTCTTGGTACTGCATCTGTCTTTCACCCCAAGACACACAGAGAAAAGGGTGACAGAAAAATGACCCCTTTCTAAAGCATTTTTTAAAAAAGAAAACCACCAGTTAAAGGCAACACATATGCTGTCAATAGGTTCTTTGGAGTAATTACAGGAATATAAGCGGAGAGGGAGAGAATAAGGCTGTATATACTAAGTCTGCACTATCTTTTAGATAAGGAACTCAAATCTCCCAGTATGACAGATTTGTATGATCATCACATGCACCAACTTAGCCAGAGGCCCCTAAGTGCAAAAGACCTAGAAAAGTATTAGACATAGTTTTTAGCGCTACATGTGCCAATGGGAGCTTGTTCCTCTACTCCAGCCTGGTGAAGCATTTTGCCAGTGTTTATTTTCAGTTTTGCAGAATCCTGGCCCGTTATGAATGAACTAGATATCCTGGTTTAGAACAATTTATTGTCAGTTTCAAAACAAGCCAACTTCAAACCACAGGCCAAGAAGCCAGCTTCTTTATCCAGAGTTTGTTTTAAACCAGGATCTCTGGTTTTAAAGAGTCATTGAAGAGACAGAATAAAAAAAGTGATGCCTTTGGGCCCAGAGATTGTCTGCATGCAAAATATGTGCAGCCACTGTGTCGCGGGTCTTTCCCTTCCATGTGCCCTAACCCTGTAACTTCATCCTGCCAAGTTCTAAATTTGCAGCAGTGTTTTGGTTAGGCACTGGACCCCTTTTCATTTCAATTCTCCAGACCAAATGGTAGGCGAAAAATGAGGTTTAAGTATTTATAAATAAAGCAAGAGGGCTAAAGTGTATCCCTTGCAAAGAGCATCAGTCGCTGGAAAGGTGTCTCCCCAGGAAGCACAAGTGCCATGATTGTGGCAGGAAGAAGGCTATTCTGTCCATCTGCTAAAGAGCAAGGGAATATAGATAAGAGACGAACTCTTTCCAGTTTGGTCTGCTGGAAGTGTGTAGGGGTGCAATAAAGTGCAGATAGTTTTCCTACCTACTCTTGCATTTTTTATAAAAAAATAGGATATTACAAATACAATCACAATAGAAAATAAAAATTCATCACAACTGAACTGAATTAAGGGTGCTTTCTAACTGGGTGTAGTGCAAACAGGAGAGAGATTTTGTTAAGAGTGCAGGAATTCTCCTTCCTTTCAAGGGCAAGCTAGCACACAAGAATGCCAGTTCTACAGAACAAGCTGAGGACTGTGGCAGCAGTGCATTTTCTCAAACATGGAACAAAGGGATCCAGGTCTAGCTGCTCATTCTTAGCAGAGACATCTTGAGACATCCCCCTTCTCTCCTTGATACAATAGTATTTCCCTGCATTACACATTAGCAGCATTCCTTTAGCCAATACTACCGAACTGATTGTAAAGTCATGCACATACAGAATCTGCAAGGATATGCAAGGACAAAACAACACATAGCATCCATAACCAATGACTTCTGCTGTGGACCACCACAAAACATGCAGTCAGGAATAATATTTTGTGGCAGGTCATCTGTGCCATCCCTTTTTCTCTCTTGCGACAAGCTAGAGACTGGCCCCTACAGCAGAAACGCAACACCATCAGCAGGCTACAACAGTGAACAGGAGCAACAGGATGCCTCAGCATTACCCAGTTTCAGCCCTCACTTATCCTGTAAAGGACTCTGCTCTTCATAAATAACAACAGATCTACACAAGTCTTTGGCAAGTCATGGTCCCCCATAAAGGAATGGGCAGGAATCCAAGTCAAGTATACGCAGTGGAAGCTGGAGCCCCAGGAGAGGTCTATGTCATGGTACCGTGACCACAATCCTTGTGGTTTCTGATGCAGTCTAAGGAAGGCTAAAGTTCATCCTTGGTGCTTATGAGATGCTGCAGCTGGTGGTTTGGTATCATGTGATCTTCCAACAGAGGGTCATGTGACTGTGTACTGCCAGTTTCCCGCTCATCTGGGGAGTCCACAGCAGTGTAGTCTTCAAGCACTCCTGCTTCTACTCCATGACGACTAAGCCTCTCATTACCCATGAGCCCTTGCATTCTCATGTATCCCTGCTGGCAGAAGGGAGGCAATTTCTGACGCGTGAGGGCGAACAGGAAGCAGGATTCTAAACAAAAGGGGGAAATGTTCCACATTAACATCCTAATGAGTGTTACCATCCTTATGAACTTTTAAATTAAAAAATTCCAGCCTGAACCTACAAATCAAAGAGATTGGTAATATGAATATTTTCCACCAACACTGATTAAATTTCTCTACAGTGGTACCTCAGGTTACATACGCTTCAGGTTACATATGCTTTAGGTTACAGACTCCACTAACCCAGAAATAGTGCTCCAGGTTAAGAACTTTGCTTCAGATGAGAATAGAAATCGTGCTCCGGTGGCGTGGCGGCAGCAGGAGGCCACATTACCTAAAGTGGTGCTTCAGGTTAAGAACAGTTTCAGGTTAAGAATGGACCTCTGGAACGAATTAAGTACTTAACCTGAGATACCACTGTATTTAGCTTACAAGTTGGGGCAGGGGGAGTTTGGTGGTTACTTGTATGTAACTCACTTCCTAAGCAGAAAACACTAGAGGCTAAATGGCTTAGGGGAAGGAGCTGTAGCTCAGTGGTAAGAGAAGACACAAGATTCAAACCCTGATATTTCCTTAGGTGTTAACTGGCTCCCCTCCACCATCTTTTTTTTTGCCTCACCCCAATACACAGTAGTTTCCAGTCAACCAGTCCGCAGGTTACCTGCATAGAATCTGCGCAGGTCCGTTTCCAAGCAATTCTCCAAGAACCGTCTCAGCGGGAGGATGTGGGCATTTGGAGCGGTCCAGTCTGTCAGAAAGTCCTCCACAATGTGATGGATGGCGTCTGGGCGGGGCAAGGGCCAGTCTGGTGGGCAGAGCCTCATTTCACGCTCTGTTGGGAGAGTCGTTGGGAGCGCCAAACATAAATGTACATTCAGGATAAAGAATCGAGGGCAAGTAGGCAGGACAGGAGGAATGGAGAAAGTTAACAAAAGAGGAAGGAAGCAATGGAGGCATCACTTGAAAAGGCAGCAGGAAAGAACTGAAGGAGATGGGGCTGGGTGGGGTGGGGTGGGCAGACATGGTGGGCCAAATGTTTCCCAAGCCTGACTCAAGGTTTCTAACATTCCCCCCTAAAATGGGTAGAGAGGCACAACAATGAAAAGCAGGAATGCTTGCAGGAAGAACTGAAAACCCACTTTGCTTACCAGTAGGGAGGCGTTTGTAGTGATAAATGACAGGATGCAGGAAATTGGACTGCCAAGCATGGCGGGCTTCACCCACAGCGCGGTTGTAATAGAAGACGTCCTTGTCAGCCCCAGAAAAATTCTTTCCATACTCCATCACAATGACAAAAAGCCCATTCTGAACTTTTTTCCCTGTGCGCCATTCCAGGTCTTGCAGGACCCCAACCGGATACTCCTCCAGGTACTCAAATTCTGTGGCATTCCTAGGCACAACCAGAACAAATATTCTTGGGCTCACTTAGCAGAACATGCAGATGCTGGTGGGCTCAGAGGACTAGATACGACTGTAGTCTCCCACCCAGGAATACTGGCTTCACAGCTTGCTGGTGGTCCTAGACCTTGCTTTACTCCTAGCAATGGCTACTAGCCAATGACTACTATGCTCCACCTCAATGGCCAAAGGCTTAAGGCTTCTGGATCCCAGTTGATGGAAACCACAGGAGGTGAGAGCGCTCTTGTGCTTGAATCTTCCTTATGCTTTTCCCACAATAATCTGGTTGGCCACTGGGGGAATAGGATGCTGGTCCAGACTGACCACTGGTCTGATCCAGGATGTTCTGCTTGTGTTCTTATTCTAGGATTGTCTAGAAGGCTGGTATTGTGTGCCCTCTGCTGGAAGAGATATCTGAATAATTTCATTCATACCTTAGTGACCATGTGAGGCTGCCCATGCGAAAGGGTTGTAGTTCATTGGCAGAGCACATGAAATCTCAAGGTAAGGCAGTCAGGGCAGGCAGGACTGAGTAGACAAGACAGTCTGACTCAAGGCCACAGTATAAGATTGCTTGAAAAACTGCAGCTGCTACCATCCTATTTGTGTTGGGTAGGAGTTGGCACAGTCATATTACACCTGCTCTGAAACACCTACTGGACCCAATTCCAGGTGCTGGCTTAGTCCTATGCTGTCTGGGTCCCTGGTACTGCAAGGGAATACCCCTGGTATTCCAAATGAACCCCTGGTTCTCCAGATGTTGCTGGATCACAGCTCCCATCTTCCACTGACTATGCTGGCTGGGGTTGATGGGAGCTAGAGTTCAAGAACCTCTGGAAGGCATCAAATTGGCTGCTTCTGGGTTAACAACAGCCAAGGCAGCCCTGCTTCAGGTCCCATCCATCACACCCAGAGGTCAGACTGGCCCCCACAAGAAGGATGGGCCTTCTTGACTGCTGTGCCAGAGCTTTAGAACACTATTTCATGGGATGTGTGTTTGGCTCCCTCCTTCATGGATTCCTGGAATGTCTTGAGGCTGCAAAGCAAGGAATGGAAGAGGGAATGGAATTGTGCCGCTAGGATATATTTCTAGGGGCCACAGGAAGGAAACGAAGGGAGCGCTACTCACTCACTCTTTTAGCAGAATGACATCCGCTAGCACACTGAACATCTGATAGAGCCCAGATGCCTCATTCACTCGCTTGACAATGGCATTCGTCAGCTGCATAATGGGGTAGAGGGAGGATGGCCAGGGGACTCCGTGGTGACGGACTTCTAATAAGCGATGAACTACGCGAGCTGCGAGAGGTGGGTAGGGAAAGAGAGAGAGAGAGAGAGATATTACTTTAAAATGTACTTACAAGCTAAGGAGAAAGGAGGACATAAAATGCTGGTTACTCTTCATTCACTATTGTAAATGGTAACATAATTTTAACTGGAACCAGGGGTAGGGAGTCTGTCCCCCCCCCCGATGATGTTGGACCATAACTCCCATCCTCACTGACCATAGGCCAACATTTGGAAGGCCAAAAGTTTATCAGCTGATATAAAGAGGTAAAGGCCTCTCATCTTGTAATGATCTTCATGCAATGTCCTCTACTGCTCCAGAGGCAGGTGAGAACTGTTAACAGTGGAACACGGACTGCTTTGGTAGGTGGTGGACTCTCATCTGCTGGAGATCTGTGAGCAGAGGTCACTTCTCAGGGATGCTGCAGTTGTAAGATTCCTGCACTGTGTAGGGGGTTGAATTAAAGGACTTCCAAGGTCCCTTCCAACTCTAAAATTATATATATATATAAAATTTCCACAAACTCCACATAAAGTTGCAATACATAATGAATTTTCCCAGCTCTAAAATTCTATGGTCTTATGTTATTTCCCTTTATTTATAGTAGCATTTCTATTGTTAGTACACTTTGGAAACAACAACAATCTGCATCTGTACTGGTATTGTTTTTCAGGCATTTTCGTTGTTTTATTGCTTGTGTGTTTGCTGACCTGGCTTCCTTTGGAAGGAAGGGCGGAATGTTAATTTTCATAATAAAGACAATAACAAGTGTTGCGTTGTTCAATTCAGTTACCAAAACTAATAATAAAAAGAAGAGAAACACCCCATACCAGAGCAGCTTCAGTGCTGGGCTGGCTGGTTGACGTTGGCTTTCTCCACAACCCACTCCTGTCTCCAAGCTCACCTGTGTATCGGAACCCGTGAATGAAGCCTCCAGCAGATTTCCTGAAGTCAACTGAGTGGCTTGCGGTTCCCAGAACAAAAAGGCCCCGGGTGGCTTTGGCTTCGTAGCTGGGCTTGATCAGAGGATACTTCTTCTTACTGCCTTTGCCTTGTATCAGCCCCACAGACCTGTGTGGGGTGGGGAAAGGGCAAATGGAGACAGTCGAGGCTGAGATAAGGTTATGGGCGTGTCTGAAAGGATCTCTGCCAAAGTCCAAACCAGAACTTTTCAGCCATGCCCCCTGCCCAGCCCCCACGCCCCCTGGTCTCATGCATCCTCCCTGTCACTTTGGGCCCAGGCCTATCTCACTTGTTGAATATGGAGAAGTCGAATTTCCAGCCGAGGCAGCCAATGGCGCGGTCGTAAGGTGCTCGAGTGGCAAAGTTGTCCAGCTCATCCTGAGGGAGGAGGATGGACTCTGCTTCACTGCTGTTGCTGTTCTCCAGGTAGAAGCGGAGGGTGATGTGCAGCTTTCCTTTCTTATCCTTGACGAGAACCAAGTCTTCCAAGTCACCTTCCAGAAGCCCATCCAGGGACTTCAGCTGATACGTGTCCAGGAGGCCGTTGTTGATGGCTCTAAGGAAGGGAGCGTTTATTGGTTACATAAATTTAAAAATGGCTCCACGTTCAGAGAATTTCCAAGTGGAGTACAGTGGTACCTCGGGTTAAGGACTTAATATTGTTCCGGAGGTCCGTTCTTAACCTGAAACTGTTCTTAACCTGAAGCACCACTTTAGCTAATGGGGCCTCCCGCTGCTGCCGCGCCGCTGGAGCACAATTTCTGTTCTCATTCTGAAGCAAAGTTCTTAACCCGAGGTATTATTTCTGGGTTAGCGGAATCTGTAACCTGAAGCGTATGTAACTCGAGGTACCACTGTACAGATAATGGGAGCCGAGAAGCCAAGAATCGTAGGGTCACAAGACAGATGGGATTTAGCGCTCTGCATGTCAACTGTGGAAATACCATTGCCAGCCGGCGTAGAGAACCTGGTATAAGGCACGCCTTCTATGTAGTCATGTTCTATATTGGTTTTAATAATGCTGGGGAGGAGGAAGTCCAAAATTTGTTTGACAGCATTTATTGTGTGTTCTTTTGAGAACACAATGGAAAGGCAGTTAAGAAATGTAAGAGAACAGTGACTTGTAAAAGAGCAAGGATAAACAGTGAGGATAAATGCATAATTAATTTTACTCTTGTTTTTAAGCTTTTTTTTGGGGGGGGTAGTCACTTTTAGTTCACATTTCAGAAAGTAGCCCATCTGTTCTAGACTACAACTCCCATCAACCTTAACCAGCACTGTGCTGACTAGGGCTGAAGGGAACTGTAGTCCAGAACAGCTGGAGAGCACCAGGTTAGGAAAGGCTGGCTGGCTGGCTTTGGGAGAGTCCTGGGAGCCAGCTTTAAGGGGTCTAGCATGCTGGGCATTGCCCACGCCTCTCTTAAATGGTGTTACATGATGCTTTCCCCACAGCTTTTAGGGCACCCCTGGATGTTTAGTTGTCACTTCTCACTGGCAAAAGGTTCTTACCTCAAATCTCCAACATAATGAGTGGCCCAGGAAAGGCGAACACGAGAGCGGCCCACCATGTGCACGAAATTGGTGACGCCCAAAATGTTCTCCGCTGTCTCAAAGGCAGAGTTTCCTCGGCCCAAGATCAGTACAGATTGGCCAACGAAGTCTTCTGGATCGATGGACACAGACTCATAGCCTTCGACGTAGTCTGAACCGGGGAAGTTCACTTTGTTAGGAACCCACGTTCCCGTAGCTACCAATAGGACACTGAAACATATAGTAAGGATTTCGATCAGGCTTGCTGAAGGCATAGCCAATCCAGAAGATCTGTTCCAATTTCCAAAGCTATCACAGGCTAGACAGCAGGGCTGGGGAAGCTGTGGCCCTCCATATGTCATTGGACTCCAGTTCCCATCATTGCTGACACTGGCCATGTCATCTGGGGCTGATGGGAGTTGGAGTCCAAGAAGATCTGGAGGGCTGTAGGTTCTCTAGGAAATTACACTTTCACAATCAGGCCCAATCAGAGCTGTGCCATGTGAACATTTCCCTCCTCTAAGTAGGTTTTCTTCATGACTCACCTGCATTTATAAAACTGAGCATTCTGGTCAGTTAGGATGAAGAAATGGCCATTCCATGCCTTAATGTCCTTTTCCAGCATCACACGGGTGATGGATGTGTTGTAACGCACCTGGAGGTCCAGCGTGGAAGCAAAGTCCCCCAGGTAACGCACCATGGCATCAGCGTCTGGGAAAAAGTCCTTGGAGTAGTGTCGAAAGAGCAGCCGGCGGTTGTGGCTGAGTAGCGAGTTCCAATCATGGCGAAGGTTGAACTCACTGTTGGATTTGCCAGTGTAACGCTTGTTGACGCTAATAAGCTTCCGGTGGCGTGGATACAGGGCAAAGAAGCTCCCGGGCGCATGGCTGCGTTCAAAGACCACATAGTCTCGGCCTGCATGTTGGAGGAAATACGCCATCTGCAAGCCCGCGGGGCCAGCCCCAATGACACAGTAGTCATGGTACAGGGCATCAGTAGCCCTGCAGGAGGCCAAACTGAAGGCAAAGATTAACAGAAGTTCTTGCACATACTTTGAAGGAGATGGCATCATACTAGTGGCCAACAGGGTGAAATCTGTTCAAGGCAATTCTAAGAGCTGAAAAGACTCAAGTTAAAATAAGTTCAATGAGAACTCCTAAGGGTGCTTAATTATTTGGAACTAGATATATATCATAGGTTCAGCTTTGTGTCTTGTCTCCTCTCCCAAGGTGCTGCAGTCCAGACCACAAAGTGGGATATGCAAGTAGCAGTCACATCAGTATCTTCTGCTGAGGAACCATATTCCAGCCACAGACAGGAGCTGCAAGGGTAAGAAGATAGGCAAGTGTCCTATTTGAAAATCATTTCTGCTCCACGCCACTGCAAATCATACTGCCCTGAAAGCTCACACTTCCAAAGCAAAGTTTCACCCTTCTAGACCTGTTTTGTCAGGTCTTTGCTCACCAAATAGTTTTGTGCTGTGAGTGATTGAGGGTGTGTTAGATATGCTATTGTTTGACTCCAACCCCCATTAGCTCCATCTTATATGGCCAATGCTCAGGGATGATAGGAGTTGTAACTGTGGCAACACCTAGAGGGACACAGGTTTCCCATCCCTCTTCTATAGGGATGTATCTAGACAGGAGGGGATGGTGACAAAGCCTGAGAACCACCCACAAAAGGCCACTATACGTGTTACAAAATGAGCTTGCATACTCTGATACACCTCATATACGGTATCTTTTGTGACACATGAATGCTACACACATGGCCTATAGAGGCCTGCTATCTGGGCCTCTTTGGAATGTATTCTTACCATATCAATCAGCTTTATTCCCTGTCTGCATCCACTGTCATGTACAGCAACCATTCCATCAGGCTGCAAGAGAGGGAGAGAGATGGGACCGCAGGGCCTCTCCCTGGACTAGGCTGAAAGATAAGCAGTTTTTGGCTCCTCTCCACATTTTTCCATTGCTGCTGTTCGCTACAAAATCTCTGTAACTACCAGTGAGTGCATTCCTCTTTTTAAGTGCTGCCCTTTGCCACTATGTCCCTAGTTCCCATGGCAAGGAGTTCTTTCTTTTTTTCATGTTGGTAATGCCAAATGTAGAGATAGAATGGTATGTTCTCGTCACCATGTGTATTTCACAAGCCCATAACTTCACTTATTTTGGGATAATGCCACACGTGACCCTGGATAAAATGACCATTTACTAAGTTATTGCAGTATATGGTTGGTCAACCAGTTATCTGTGGGAATAATTTTCAGCAGGATGATACACAGAGTGGCGAGATGAAAACGATGACAGTGTTCCTGCTACTTTAATGAGTTGTGTGGTCCAAACATGGGGAACTGTTTTCCCTCCAGATGTTGCTGAACTACATGTTGTTGGCCACGTTTTGTTGTTGTTATGTTGTTGGCCAAGTTTTCCCTGCAGTTCAGCAACATCTGGTGGGCCAAAGGTTCCCCCACCCCGACGCAGATGTTGAAATTTCAACTTACGAAATTGTTCATACTTGCTTTACGTAACAGACAAGAGAACTCATCCTGATTCCATACGGGCTCAATTCCATCTACTCCGAGCAGCAGCAACTGCTGGATGGCATTGAACCGGAGATCTTCCATCCTACCACTGAGTGCTTCGTAAATCTGTATTTGTAATATAAATACCATTCTGAGTCTTGGAGGCTAACTTTTAAGAAGTGTGCACACGTACGAATGACAGTGCTTGAACGGAAAGCAAAAAAGGGCCATTTTCAACGGAACTTATGTTCGGCTATTGCATTCATGTTGCAGATGCAGGAATGTTCATGCAACACCCTGGAACAGATATGAAGGAAGAAGGAAGGCAACAACATAATCCTTCTGCTGAAGAAGTGAACACATCATCCCTGAGGAACAGGAACACCCCTTATCCTGCTTGTGGAGCTCACTGCATTGCTTATTCCCCCTCAGGGTGAAGAGAAGCGTGCTAGCCAAGGAGGATTGGATATACAGTAAGCCTAAATGCTAGGCCAATGGTTAAGGGACCTGCACATGTTACTGGGTTCCTGCTCCCCTCAGTCCTAGTCAGCACAGTCCATGGTCAGGGGCCTAAACCTGGTGGAGCTTATCATTTAGCAGCGACATGAACCAACCTCATGGAAATGGGGCTGAAGCTTTTCCTCCCCCAGTAACCTGGCGCGCCTCCTAGAGGACGCCGAAGGGAATAGCACCCAGTGACCATTTCCCTCCGCCCAATGGGATGCGGGGCGAGGCTTAGCGGCGTGTCTGGTGCGTGACGTGCTGACGTACCTGGAGCGTCCGGCCGAAGGGAGGAGGCGATCAGGTAGGTCTCTGTCTCGTGCGGCTGCCCCGCAGCGGCGCGCGGCGGATGCTCGTCATAAGAGTGCGTGCTGCTCTAGTCCTCCGAGTAAGGGCTGGGCCTTAAAAGGTCGCAGCGAAACGCTGTGCCAGAGCGGCGACCCGCCTTGTGCTCTGCTTCACCTTACTCAGTCAAACCCGCTCGCTCGTGGCGCCCAATCCGGGCAGATGTGCCACGTGACTCGGGCGCCTCTCGAAGCGCGCGACAAAGCTTTCCGCGCCGCCTTCATGGAGGCGCTGCTAGAGCGCTTTCCGGGTCACGTGCTGCGAGGGCGAAGCCGAATGGCGTCGCTTTTAAAGGGGCAGACGCCAAAATACCAAATGCGTGCCCCTCCCGCCATAAAATAAAACAAAACCAAAACGACTAAAGAGGCCCGTGGCACCCAAGATACGAACATATGGAACTTTTAGCCCTTAATATTAAGCTCACGGTGCAGTCGTGGCACCCTAAAAGACTGACACATGTATTCTGCTGCAAGAGATTTAATACATCATCTCCTCTGGAGTGCTATACACCTCCTACTTAAAGTAGGGGCCTTTCTTCCAGGTATGTGTCTAGGATTCCAGCCTTTGGTATTTGGTCATTCACATGAGGATCCGTGCTTCAAAACCACGTTTTTGGGCCATGGAGTTGCCAGGAATCCGAGTTTTTTGCGGTGCAGGCTGTGCCCCTGGGCATGATGTGTGATTTGACAGTGAATTTGATGTGGCCCAATGCAAAAAGCGTTAGTATCTGTGAGGATCCGTGATTCAAAACCACGTTTTTGGGCCATGGAGTGGCCAGGAAGCCGTGGATCTCTGTTTTTTGTGTTGCGTGCTATGCCCATGGTCATGGTGTTTGATCTGATGGTGACTTTGGGCTGATCTAGTGCAACAATCGTGAGGATCCATGAGGATCCGTGCTTCGAAACCACGTTTTTGGGCCATGGATTTGCCAGGAAGCCGTGGATCCGTGATTTTTGTGGTGCAGGCTGTGCCCCTGGCTATGTTGTGTGGTTTGACAGTGAATTTGGGGTGGCCCAATGTAAAAAGCATGAGGATTCGTGGTTTGGAACCACGTTTTTGGGCCACGGCATGGCCAGGAAGCCGTGGATCCGTGATTCTTTATAATTTAGTTCCTGGCAGTATCCTTTTAGAATCTAGAACTGACTTGTTTCCAGCGTTTAGGTGCTTTAGATTTTGCATCTATCCTCTCTCCCAGTATGCGAGGGTAGTCGTCAGAATTGACCTCAAAATTGTATTGCCAAATCATGGATTTAGGAAAAAAAGAAAACAATGTAAACCATGGGGTCAAAAAGCCATGAATTAAAACAGGTCCAGATGCAGAAAGCCTGTTTGTGGCCGTTTTCTTCTATGCAAAACTCCATGTCATGTCATTCATCTGATGCAGCAGTCTGGTCCACAGCTACTCCTTCTCTGGCAATAAAATGCTACGCTGCTTCTTTCCATCCCCATAGCCTCGCTATGGCATTGCCATTGTTTTCATGTCTCAACTTCTTCACCATACCAACTCTTATGAGCCCATTCCCCAACCTCAGAGCTGAGAGCAATTCAGTGTCAGAAACATGCCCAAAACCCCATTCAAGCACCCAATCTGTATTTAGTATATGTGACCAAGGCAGAATCTTATTTTCAGTTGTATCTCTAATATGGAGATAAAAATGTCAGTGTAAAAGCCCAAGGATAGAATTAAACCCCAGAAACCTGAGCAATTGGCTGCTGCCATTTTCATTCCTACTTTCCAAAGTTCAGGCCATTCTGTTGTGAGTTGTTGCTCTCAGTGCAATTTTGTGCATATTTAGTGTGGCTTACTACAAAGTAAGCATGCACAGCGTTGCAGTCTTTGGGTCACTAGGCAGTAAACAAAAAACTTCCCTTGCTGCTAAAGCAGCAAATGCTGCACCCACCAGTGGTGCATTGCTTTAGTGCTGTGAATTGCTAAAAAGGCAGAGTAATTACATTTGACTGGCAGGTGAAATGACTGGCTGTTTATTACTTGGGAAGCGTTTTGGGGATCCAAGATGCTAATCAGCTAGGATCTGCCGCAGCAGGTAGCTAACCTCTTGACAATAAAAGAACACCCAGTTCTTTCAAGGAAACCTTGGTCTTTACACGTTCACCTCTCTGCAGCAGCTGGAAAGAGATTATGTCCACGTGGGAGCTGTTGGAATATGATTAGAGAAAACCCTGCAGTACCCTCATCTAGCCAGGTCTGTTTGCCAAGGCCATTAATGAGCATCATACAGAGGTTCAAGCAATCACCCCCTTTGGCACTGCAGCACAAACATTCATTCATTTGACAGAGAGCTGGTTCTTGCACATGGCTTCAATTCAAGTCACACTTTAGGCTGTGGAAGATTACAAATGGTATCAATTAAATTACTAATGGTTATAACTTTTAATAGTTGCTGCATTTAAAAGGGCTTTGTAAATCTACCTGTTCCAAATGACTCTTAATGGAGAGAGTTGTAGTCAGGGAAGATTTGTAGCTCAATGGAAAAGCATGTTTTGCATGAAAAAGGTCCCACGTTCCAATCCCCAGCCTCTTTAGGGGCTGGGAATAACTCCTGCCAAAAACACTGGAGAGCCACTGCCAGTCAATATATACAATACCGAGCTAGATGGGCGACTCTGCATGGGGTTGCTTTCTATGCAATGCTGTTGTTTTAATGATAAAATCTCTGAATTTTTTTTTATACGGGTTGAATGAATAATTTAATGTGGTTTCTTGCATTTTTTGAACTTTTAAAGTTGTTGGGGTAGGTTTTTTACCTTTATTTTGTTCACCAGCTTGGTAAATAAGATAAACAAAATATTATTTTGCATTTCAACCCACATTCTCAAGAGAAGCACAGAGGAAGAGATTATGCCTAATTCCTCAACTAGATAGGGCAGAAGTAGCCGCTAGTGGTATAAATTATTTCTTCTTTTGATGAGTCTTTAGTGTGAATGCCCCTAAAAACAAATTGGTTCTTATGATTTTTGCATTGAAGATCTGAGCCAGTAGTTTTAACATCATTTTCATTACATTGTTCCAGCTAGCCTGCCATCAAGCTTTGTGCACAATCCTATACTATCCCACTTCTCAACCTTTGTATAGCACAGTTAAAAAGATAGTTTTAAAGCTTTGCAACAGAGTGAGAAGAGTTACAAATTACTTGTGCTTGCCTAAGAGCCAATCTGCACATATAGAAGAATCCCATGATACAGCTTTTCCTAGAGCCATGCCATTTAAAGACTGCCCGCTTCTGAAGGTTTCTTTAGCTTGAGTAATTTCCTATTAGCAGTGGGGACTCCCTGCATACGGAAAACAAGAAGGGCAAAGAGAATGATCTCAGCCTAGGTTTCTCTATGGCATGCTAGTTTTCTATACTCTCTCAAATTCCCCCATAAGCGACTATTGAAACATTTATTTCCACACTTGCAGAGTGAAGCTGTTAAGTCCAGGGGACACTGGATCAGATGATTCTGCTACACATCAGGCTTAAAGTGGACAAGGCTGATCAGGTAATCATAAAATATTTTCTTTTCCAAATTTGTTTAGGGGCAATCTCATTACACATATTAATTATACAAAAGGGATAATGCTTTAAGATTATTATTTTTTATTCCTTAGGTTCTAAGTACATGAGATTCAATTCTGATCCATCCACCAAGAACAAAGATGTTGGCTGTGCCTTCAAGCTGCAGTTGCTGCTGCTGTCTGGCTGCAATGTTCAGCTCTCTTCCTCTGAAAAATAAACAGAAGTTTCAATGGAGCATTTGCTGCCATCCCAAGCAAAAACAAACACCATGGAACAAACAAGCATGGCCACAACATCTGCTCTCCTTTCCACACATAATTACCAAATGCTGGTTCATATACAGTCAGATGATACACTTTCTGCATAATATAAAGCCTTATTAAGTAGGATGCAGCCAATCAGTTGATCTAAACTTTAGAGACAATGCAAGTATTGAACTCCAAGCAATGTTAAGAACGTAAGAGCTTGCTGGATCACAGTGACCAATCAGATACCTCTGGCTTTGTAAAGAAAATTTGTGGTTTGTAAGCAAGAATAAGAAACTGACAATCTATAATGTAGCCTTGTGTACAGCCACAGTTTGAAAAGTAAAACAGAAAGCTGAATCCTAGGGAACATACAAAATCTGTAAGCTGGTATTGGTCTCCCCAAAATAATCATGTCAACACTTTACTAATATTAACTATATGCCATACTTAAATTCTGCTCAGATCCACATTATATCACTCCTGTGGCGTGTACTACTGGTCACCATCTTATCTGTAGTTATGATGCAAACAAGATGGCAACTAGCGACGTGACAGAGAGAAATAGGCTGGTGCACAGACAGCATGCTATAGAATCCTGCAACACTGCATGCAAATTCTGCCCGTTTTGGTTCTACTTACCGTTTGCTCTGACTGGTTTTTCCTATGAGTTAATGGCCCCCATATACACCTGACTTATGGGCTTGCCCTTCCCAACCTGGTGCCTCCCCTGATGTTTTGGACTACAGCCCCTATCGGCTTCAATCAGCGAAGCTGTGCTGAATGGGGCGGATAGGAGCTGTTGTCCAATGTGTCTGGAGGGCTTCAAGTTGGGGGAAAGCTGCACTGTACTCTCCTGCGGCTATATCTGGACGAAATGATCACAGATTGCAGAAGAATGAAAGCTATCCTCCCAGCACACAAGCTTCTTCCAATGTAAGCAGTTGCAAGACCAGAAACTTGTCGTTTCAGGCCTAAGCTTAGCTAGAAGGCATGTGAAACTCTTATTACCTTCCTCTTCCTCCTCTTCATCGTCATCATCATCATCTTCATCAGAGCTGAAAGTGCCATCTGGCAGGCTGTAGATACGGATGACTTGCTTGTTGGGGTCTTTCAAGATGAGGTACTTGCCCTCATCCAGTTTCATGCAGATGTCAATGACACAGCGCAGGATGCCCCAGGCATTTTCCATGCTTAGATTAATTTGGCTGGCGAATTCATTAGGTTTGAACTGCTGGGTGCCCAGGATCACATGGCGTGCAGAGTCTTTCACATGGTACCGGGAAACATACCTGACAAGAAGGGACAAAGAAGACTTAGAAAGTGTGAAGCTGTAGTCCAGCCCAGCAGCTACAGTAGGACTAAGAAAGAATAGCAGGCTAAACAATTTAAGTAAGACGACTGGTGTGGTACAGTGGTTAAAGAGACTGAGCTACAAATCAGGGTTTGAATCTTGCCTCTGAACTCACTAGGTGACCTCCCTTTAGGAAAGTTGCTCTCAATCTTCCTGCCTGACTTGCCTTATAGCGGTTTAGTCATGCTGGCCACATGACCTGAAAAGCTGTCTGTGGACAAATGGCCTGAAAGCGAGATGAGCACCGCAAGCCTATAGTCGCCTTTGACTCAATTTAACCATCCTGGGGTCCTTTACCGGCTTGTTACAAGGATTACGACTAGAAAATACATGCAGGCTCTTGACAAATGTTAAATATTATTAAAGTGTTAAAGTTATAGACCCATCTCAGTAATTTTTAATCCAGACAAGAAACTTATTTGTTATTCCCTTCCAAGAGGTAAAAGACACACTTTATCCGGGAGTTAAGACAGAGACGGAGGTTGAATCTACACACATAGAAATCGTTCTGAAAATGTTTTTTAAAAAAAGTGTTTTAAAAAATACATTGAATTTTCCATAAGGCTCACCTTCGCCATCTAGTGTCACATTGTATATTGCACTTAAAACACACTTAAAACATTTTATTTGCAGCTGTATAGCTGAGTCCGGACAAGGGCCAGCTATATCCCAAGCTATTAGCAGAGAATTCTAAATATGAAGAGGTGCTGGCCAAGTTTTACAGCTCAGAATATTTAGAGATTAGAATAAATATTTAAAATATTTAATTACAATGGTACCTCGGGTTACGTTACCTTGGGGTAACATAATTTCAAGTTATGAACGCAGAAAACCCGGAAGTGTATACTTCTGGGTTTCGCTGCATGCGCATGTGTAGTGACGCCTCCGGATGTGGACTTTTCGGGTTAAGTACGGACCCCTGGGATGAATTAAGTTCGTATCTGGAGGGTCCACTGTATAGGCCACCTCTCAAAGAGGTGAATAATGTAAACATCAGTAAAATGTAACAATGTATTAAATTTTAACCCCGAAGAGCTGGCTTCTCCCCCCAAAACTTATTTCCCTCTTGTAGTACACCCAAGACAAAAACAAACAAACAAACAAAAACACAACCAAAAACCTATCCACACTATTTTGTCTCACCCCAGTTTAAGATACTCTGATCCAGCCAGCAGCGCACAACATGTCCAGCGAGCAAGTTTGTAGCTGTTGTTTTTCAGCTCAGTGGCAATCACAGCTCCTCTCTGGGAGTCCAGTTTCTGACGCCAGTCCACTCCATTACAATGCTAGAAAAATTAAGAAAGGACTAGGGTTGTACACAGCATCAATTATGGCACACTGAATTGGATGGGATGAGGAAGAGGGAATTCCAAGGCTATTACAGGTAATCATAGTAAATTATGCCACAGTTAAAGAGACAGGCCAGCGGAAACAAATAATGTCCACACAGAAGAGCCTACAAATTATATCTGTTTTTCCTTACCCTTGAATCCCATTCATTCAGTGTTTTTGTGTTGATGAAAGATACTTCTCCATTGGCTCCAGTCATCACTCCATCGTGTTCACAGCGTACTATCAGGTCTATGTCGTCTCCCAGCTTCCACCTCCGGTACCTACAACCAAAAATGCTTGTCAGCAACCTTATAACAAAAAATTCACATAAACACATATATACAGGTGGCAGCAATGGGAATTTTCATGGAAGCTGCAACAAGTCTGCAAACCACACCTCAAGGTACTGTGAACGCTCAAGGTCTACTCATGTGTCAGAAGCAACAACTTACCGGTATGCAACAGAAGCCACCTCATTCTTATCCATATCATCTTCCACAAATGGGTTTGGATTGGGAAATGTGTATTTCTCTTTCCCCTGTAAAGACACACACATGCAAAAACTTTTATCAATGACATCAGATTACATGGTCAGGAGAATCATGGCTGCCTTAAGACATGGGAAGCTTCCAGTGCTCTGGCTTGAGAAAAATTAGCCACTATCTTGCTACCAAGCCCTTCCTCAAATTTTTCAAAAACATGGCTTTGATGTGGTATCCTGTTTACTAGCAAGACACTTCCCCCACCAGGAGTATTCTGTGGAACCTCCCAACAGCCATACAACTCTATCTGGAGGCCCTATAAAACAGATAGTAGATGGATGTTATCTTCTTTCTGCTTGCTGAGACAGATCACTCCCTCATCAGCAGGAAGTTCTAAGTGACCCTAGTCAATTTCTTTCTGAAATTCTCTGCAGAGGTAAAATCCATTACCCCTTTAAATCTTACCATTCTCAAACATTGCTGGGAGAAGTTGTGGTTGATGTAGGTGGCTTCCATAGCAAGGTTGCGGGGTGAATTGAAGGAGTTGCCCTCATCCTGTGGTGGTTCATTAGCAGTCTCACTCACGGTCAGGAGGTCTGAGGATATAGCCAAACATAAATGGAAGTTCAGGGGGTTGCCCCAAGAGATAACCCTAACAGCTTCACTTCCCCAAGCACTCCATTCCCAGCCACCACCTGTCTCCCTTCAGTTTTGTACTGTATATACAAAAACACTCACCAAAATCAGAATTGTCCCTCTTGTCAAAGAAGAGTTTGGATCCAACTCTCTGGACAATGATGTCCCAGGAATATACAGAACGAGTGCAAGCCATGAGGGTAGCTAGGATGGCATCTGTAGCAAATACATTCCCCTGAGTCTTGGCCAACTGTGCACAAAGAAAAGTCACATGGATGAGAGCAGGAATCGTACAAGCGAACTAATATAGGTTGTACCACCCTCCAGAGTTGTATCTGTAGCATTATCTACTCTCTGAGGCACAGGGGTAGGGAACCTGTGATTCCAACTCCCATTAAGTCCAGCCAGCATGGCCAGTTGCCAAGGTTGATAGGAAATGTACCTCAACAGAATCTGGAGGGCCACAGGTTCCCCATCCCTGCTGTAGAAGATATTGTCAAAACCATGCTCTCCTAGATTACCAATGGCATTTGCATCCCATTCTCCAGCAATTAAAATCCAAGGGAAAGCAGACAGAAGAGTCCCAATAAATGCAAGGATGAGATCTGCTCTCCTGCACGTCAATTCTATCATTAAGCCAAAAACTTACTCCCCTCAAAGTTAAGAACTTTGGTAGATGAGCAGAAACATAAGAAGTAAACACTTCCACTTGCCTCATTTATTATTTAGCTGGGTTTTGTCTTAGCATACCTCCAAGCTTCACAGCAAATTGCAAAACACATAAAGCCTCTCTGAAAACTCTCACATCCAACCCATTATCTCCACTACCTCAAGCACAATAAATAGGAAACTCCTCAATACTAATAACTAGCTCAAAGAGAAATGTCCTGCAACACTTTTGGAAGATGCTCTGACTTGGGCTTTAAGGAGTTTCCAGAAAAGGGAATTCCATTGTGCGCCAAAGCTATGAAGATCTCCTTGCCTCCCCCTGCTCTTTGCACAGTCAACAGGACACACTCTTCTCTAGTCCAGTATGTCTGGCTGCAATTTCTAGTTTCAGACTTACTAAACAATATTTCATTAGACTAACCTGCCTTGCCCAGTGCAGTACCATTTTTAAGGACTTAGTAAGAAAGGTATCTGAAGTTACCGTATTTTTCGCACCATAGGACGCACCGGACAATAGGATGCACTTTGTTTTAGAGGGGGGAGAACAAGAAAAAAGAATTCTCCCCCTCTCTGCCCAGCGCCCCTTCAGCGAAGCGGCAGGAGGCGCTGCACAGAGAGGGGGAGAACTTTCCCCCTCTTGTTTTCCCGCTCTAAAACAAGGTGCCGTTTAAGGTGCGTTCAGGCGGCTACCTTGGAAGCCTGGAGAGCGAGAGGGGTCGGTGTGCACTGACCCCTCTCGCTCTCCAGGCTTCAGGTCCTTCGACCTGCTCTTTGGGGCTGGCGGGGGGAAGCCCACCACCAGCCCCAAAGAGCAGGTCAGGGAGCAGCGGAAAGGCGCAGCGGAGAGGCTCCTGCCATAGCCGCACGTCACCTCTCCAGCCGGGAGAGGGTCGCGGGGCTATGGCTTCTTTAGCCCCGTGCGCACTCTCCCGGCTGCAGAGGCGACGCGCGGCTATAGAGGCTCCTGCCATAGCCGCACGTCACCTCTCCAGCCGGGAGAGGGTCACGGGGTGCTTCTTTAGCCCTGCGCGCGCTCTCCCGGCTGGAGAGGTGACGCGCGGCTGTAGAGGCTCCTGCCATAGCCGCACGTCACCTCTCCAGCCAGGAGAGGGTCGCGGGGCTATGGCGTCTTCGCTCCACAGGACGCACACACATTTCCCCATCATTTTTGAAGGGGAAAAAGTGCGTCCTATAGAGCGAAAAATACAGTACAAGCAAATGAGCCCTCTCCTTTTAAACTGAGGTATTTTAACAGCCATGTATAGGACAAACTACAGAGGCATATTATACCTTGCGAATGACTGGATCATCGGTAGTAGTTACAGTATGGAAGATGCGCTTGATGCTACGAAGGGTCTTTTCATTTCTTGTGGTGATGCGGTCAAAGGCTTTGTCATAGTATTCCAGGGCCCCACAGCACTCTCTGCAGGTACAAAGAGAAGATGATCATGATTTGTTCTCTCAAGAACAAAGGATAATAAAAAGTGGACTAATGGGTTCAGAAATACTCATGAAAAAGAAACCCAAGGATCATTAAAATCCCACGGCACCTTTAAGGTTCTATGCCTCTCCTCTGACCCATCCACCTCTATAAGCAGCATCACATTTTAAAGCATCCTTCCCTAAATGATGCCCTCCAGATATTTTGGAGGACAACTCTGATCATCCCTGACCACTCTCTGTGCTAGATAATAGGATCTGGAGTCCAACACAGTAGATGGCACTAGGTCAGGGAAGCCGCCCAGAGTGGCTGGGGCAACCCAGTCCCAAGCTCTAAACCAGATTCACTGACAAGCTCCAGCTCCTAACAACCAGTCATATATTCCTGCTCATATTGAAGGTCAGGGATAATTCAGGCCTTGTTAACCAAAAGTCATTTTATGTCCAGTTGTCAGTACTCAGAAAGAATACAGAAAGTTACAATGCCCAGCAAGGCAATAATTCTGGTTTAGGCTGTCCTGACATCTAATCACAGTTTGTGTCTTGGATCAAGAGATAAGCATACTGTATTAGTTAAACTACTTGGAGGCTGTTTTTTTCTTCTTCTAAAAAAAGATACAAATTGTTGGCCCCAGACCTTCAGCTGCCTCAAGAGACTTACATGTCCTGAGGGTCTGACACCTCCAAATATCGCATTTTCATCAACCTAGGGAAATCCATTTCCTCCTTCACCTCCCAATCACTGCGAACTTCAACAGAGGAGTCACGGGGTTTCTGCCATGCAGATAGAATAAATAGAAGAGACAACACATTGGTGTGTAAAATGGGAACAAAAGCTGAAAGTGTGAGGGGAAAGACAGTCACAAGACAGGCAGCCAAAGCGAAAGAGGTTTACCTGAGATTTTTGGTCCCATTTTTGTCTCACTCCAAACTGCTTCTGAAACTTCTTTTGGAGACGCAGTCTATCTCTGAAATGACAGAAAACTGATAGTCCCACCAAGGCAAAGGAGCCTGCTGATCCCAAACCCTTTTTCCAGAGTAGAGAAACTGGAACATGAATGGCTAACTACAAAAGGGTTTTCTGATCTCTTGGGTCAGAGTTGCTAAACAACCAATAAGATAATGCCATTTCACAATCCATGCAACAGTAATAAAAATTTAAAATATGTGACAGCAGAGTCTGGGAAATTTAGTAAGCAATTTGCTTTTTCAAGAGATTCAATCAGTTTGATGAAACTAGCTCTGCTGGACAATTACTAAATTGCATGTTCTCCCACAAACACAGCAAGCTTACCTCTCCTTCTGCTTGGCACTTTTAGGGAGCGTCTGCATGTTAAACTGAAGGATGTTCCGGCGGTCCTTATCTCTCCGGAGGTTCCTCTGAAAGGAAACACTAATGTAAGTGAGACAGCATGGAGTCAAAGGGCCTACCCAGCAAGCAATCCTGCAAAGGATTCCTGCCCAATATTCACTGTAATGCATGAGTTACACTAGGGTGGGGATCACTACTTGATAGCCATACACATTCCAGCCTAAGAACAACAAAAATGAAAAACCACAAGGAGTCTCAAACTTGCAACGGCTTGTTTGAAAAAGACAGTTATCAGTGACTGGGGAATGGGAGGGGATACATCTTCAAAATCCCATGAGACTGCCCATTAATGACAGGGATGGGGAACCTGTGCTCCCCTTCTGCAATCTTGTTTTGATTCCAGCTCTCAGCCAGCATGGTTAGTGATGATGGAAGCAGTAGACCATGGGTGACTAATCTTTGGCCCTCTAGGTATTGCTGGACTCTTATCATACCTGACTACTGGGCATATCAGCTGGGAATGGAGATAGGACAGGGGAGAGACATGTTAGCTACTAGAGTTATAGTGCAACAAGGACAGCAGGACCCCCATACCAGATTAAGGGGAAGGTTGTCTGTTCCCTCCTCGATCTGTCTCTCTCCTCTCAGAGTATCAATTGGGACAGACTAGCTATATGGCTCAAGTCTAATCTCTTCAATCAAGCCACATCATACCTGTGCAAACCTCATGCGATTTCTCTGGTAAGCTGTCTTTTGTGTCCGTGCCGTGTCCACCAGTTGGAAACTGGTTTCATCTTCCTCATGGAAATAAGCATACTGGCTTCCTCCACCAAACTGGGATGAATATTTATCTGGGAAGACAATTGTCTCAGTCACCTTAGAGTGCAAGACTGGGATTTCCTAGAAGACCAAGAACTAGAACCGTCCTACTTTCAAATAGGAGCTGAAGCAGAATTATCTTTGTGTAACTGCTTAGAACAACGGATGTGATACAGTCGTGTTCCTTTGCCCAATGGTAAATACCATGGCTGATCTCAAAACAAGATGGAGATTTCCTCTTGTAAAGCCCCCCGCAAAGCTCCACTACTGCTGTAATCAGTGCAGAAACACGATGTGCCCTAGTGTTCTACTTATCTGTAGTGTTGATATGCAACTGCACCAGTGATTGCATTACCAAATTCCAAAACTACCATTTGATACAGGCAGTAGACATTTGTTTAGGGAGAGTAGGTCTTAATGTTGCAAGCCAGAGGTTACACAGTGTAGAGCCTATGGATGACAGTATGCATGCCAAGTATCTCTTATGGCACCCATGGACGAATCAATAAATATCCCCTTAAAAATTCATGGTGGATTTTGTGAACTTGCCTCTTTTTCTGCCCTTTCAGATGTGGCAGCCATTTCGTGTTATGCCACACCCCAACAGCAGCCACTTTGTGACTGATGCCAACTGCACTCTCTCAAAATTCCAAATGTGCCCACCAGCCCAAAAAGGTTGGCAACCCCTATAAGCAGTGAAGGAAACAGAGGAATGCAGAAAAGCTTATGTTCAATGCAATTCTGTCTTGTAATGAAATGCAGGAGAAACTATAAAGCACATCTCCTGGAAGTTCAACTTTAGTATTCTTATTGTATAGATGGTGGTCAAAAGACAACAATCCTGAAGGAGCGTTTCCACCCCCATCATTCAGCCCGGGAACTGAGGTCCACCCGCCCTGTGGAATGCCCTCCCATCGGATGTCAAGGAAATAAACAACTATTAAGACACCTGAAGGCAGCCCTGTTTAGGGAAGCTTTTAATATTTATTGAATCATTGTATTTTAATATTCTGCTGGAAGCCACCCAGAGCGGCTGGGGTAACCCAGCCAGATGGGCGGGGTAAAAATCATCATCATCATCATTTGCCCTAAGCCAATAATGAACCCTCTTCAGCCAACAGAGACGTAATGCCAACTTCATATACCGTGCTCACTGGCACTTGATCTTCCATATGAAATATATCAAACAAGAACAATCACCATCATACTTACTTGTATATCGCTTATCCTGGTAAGTAGCTCCTGTCCAGTCTGCAACCTGGTCAAAATAAAAACAATGAGGAAATAAGGCTGCTTTCAAGCATGCCACAAACTCATTCAAAGGATTTTCAACAGAATCTCAAAAATTGTTTCTCCAGCCAGCTAAGTTTCTGAGTGTACTCAAAATATTAAGACATCAAGATCTTTACTTGGGGAGAGATAATGAGCTGATGTACACATGACCCTGGCCGGGGTGTGTGTGTGTGTGCTGTCCACAACTTAGCTGTAACACGCAGAATTGCTTATTTTGCAATCTGCTGGAATCCCACTGGAAAGTCTCTCGTGCTCTTGCTAAACAGTTGTGGGGATTGGTAGCCAATGGAAGCAGACATTCTCTATATGATGGCAGCTGCCCATCCTTACAGGGAATGTACTATGGCAAACACCTGCACCATCCATTACACTGCTATAATGCCCTAAAGGGCTAGGAAATTGGAATTGTCTTAAGACAATTATTAGCCAAATTTCCCCCCAAGTCCGGACCTGTATGCTTTAACAACATCCTATGTCATGAAATACATTAGGTCAGAGCTTGCCAATGATTCATGGTTCAGATTCCCTTTTTAACCAGACGATGTAACGTAAGCCAACACAATCCAGCTATAAATTCTGTGAAGCCCAATAGGGACCAAAATGATGCTCCAAAAATTCACTCCCTAAAAGACTTAGGACAATTTCACTCATGGTCTTTTTGCCCTGTAAGTAGTACTGTAGGAACTGGGCTCCTGAAGCACATGGTAAGAGTGCCTTTCAATAGCCCTTAATAGAAAACATCAGCATAGACAATGTACAAAAGCAGTTAATAGAAATTTTCTGTGCAAGGGTGTGTGAAGAAGTACCTTTCCTAGCCGATCTCCTTTGCTGAAGGGCTGATAAGGCATATCTTTGAACTGCTCTGGAACAGCACATGGACCCCATCCTGAGGGATTATCCTGGATCACGGGAGCCAGGAACTTTGCCATCTTCTATAATTCTAGTGAGAAAGGAGATGGGAGGGGGAAGAGAATAAGGGGATCAAGTAACTATAAAACAATAGTGCTTATCAAATACAGTGGTACCTCGGGATGCGAACGGGATCTGTTCCGGAACCACGTTCGCACCCCGAACGGAACGCAAGACACAATGGTGTGTCTGCCGCGTTTCGCCGCTACCGCGCATGACGTCATTTTGAGCGTCTGCGCATGCGGTGAAACCCGGAAATAATGCACTCCATTACTTCCGGGTTACCGCGGAGTGCAACTCGAACGCACTCAACCCGAAGCGCATTCAACTCGAGGTATGACTGTAGTTGGATCAGCTAATACAGTCAAACCTCGGTTGTCAAACGTAATCCATTCCGGAAGACCATTCAACTTCCGAAAATGTTCCGACAACCAAGGCGCAGCTTCCAATTGGTTGCAAGAGCTCCTTGCAGTCAAGTGTAAGCCGCGTCGGACGTTCAGGTTCCAAAAAATGTTCAAAAACCTGAGCACTTACTTCTGGGTTTTTGGTGTTTGGAAGCTGAAATGTTCGAAAATTGAGCCGTTCGAGAACTGAGGTTTGACCTGTACTTGTTTTTAAGGAGACACACAGTTGTTGTTTTTTAAAAAAAGGCCAGGCCTTCCAGTCATATCCTTTAAATTACTGAATGACATATACACACTGGGAATGAAGTACTTCTGTGGAAGTCCTGAACTGTAGTTTATTGCTGCCAGGCTACTGCTTAAATAACAAAGCTGTTCTCAACATATTCATATGCCTATATAGGGAGTGGGGGAGGGGGTTTATTGGTTTGTGTTTTCGTTTTGTTATCTTGTATTTTTTTTTGTTTTGTATTTTTACGTTGTGAACCACCCTGAGATCTCTGAAGGGCGGTATAAAAATTTAATAAATAAAATTCATGAAGTGCTGACTGCATGGTTTTCACCATAATTGTGCCTTATTAGCAAATGATTGTTAGCTGTATTTATATATAATTATACCCATGCTCTCTTTCTACATCCAAAGATGAAAAACTGGTTGCAGATTGGCTCTCTCAAAAAATACAGGTAGGTAGCCACGTTGGTCTGCCGTAGTCGAAACAAAATAAAAAAAATCATTCTAGTAGCACCTTAGATACCAACTAAGTTTGTTATTGGTATGAGCTTTCGTGTGTGGGCTTATTTACAAGCCAGCTAGGTGACATCTAGCCCAGCCTTTGCCAACCTGGTGCCCTCCAAACGTTTTGGCCTACAACTCCCACTAGGCTCAGCCAGTATGGCTGTCCTAAGTTGCACCAGCTATTCTAAAACTAGGTCATACAGACTTGTACTATCTGTGCTCTCTACACACAGGCAGCAAGTGAATAATTTTTTTAAAAAGCCTTGCTAGTTCTAAAATAAAAACGTCTGTTGAGCCATTTCAGTTATGATAAAGAGCCTAGTTTCTAGATACAGTACTAGAAACACATGTCATTCTGCTTCCCCCACTTCTAGACTGAGAGCTTCATGAAGTATTCAACCATTTAGAAAGGGGGCGTGAGACAGATGGACAGAATAGATATGGGGAGGGAGAGGGAGAGCAGCCCTGAACAAAGCGTCTTGCTTGCAGGGCTCCTGGTGGGACAAACCAAGTAGGGCAACCCACCCTTCCGTCCGCAGGCTCCCCCCCCCCCCGAGATGACAGCGGCAGAGATGGTCGCCAGGAACTAGGCCCGAGCCCTTCACTGGGGCAAAGCGTTCTCTAGGTATGATGAAGGCAGGCTCTGCACGAAAGAGGCGACAGCCCCGACAATGAACCCAGCATCTGCTCGAAGGGGCCTGTTCCGAGGGCCCAAGGGAGGCGGAAGGTCCCTTTCAGGCCCGCCCTGCATCCGGACACGGCGCAGACCGACGAAACGTGCTGAAGGCCGGGGCGGGGGAGAGAAAGATGCCGGCATCCTTCGTCGCCGAGGCTCCTGAACCAGCTCCAGACTCATCTCTCACCTTTACGGCCCAAGGAAGGACCGGATGGCGACGGATTCGGCCCCGGTGGGGCGTCCAAGCTACGAAGCGCGGCCCTCAGGAGCACAGCAGTTTTGCAGCTTGCTCCCACTTCCGGTCCGGGTGCACTGCTGTGGCGTCATCACGCCGCGACTCCAGAAACGCCGTAAAAGCGTAAGAAGGGATTCGTCTGCTTTGCGGCCGGCAAGGAAGCCGAGCGCTCTGTTACCCCATAGTCGGCTAAGCGGATGTTCTGATGTGGCACAAGCTGTCGTGGGCTATAGAGCTCACTTCCTTAGATACGCGAAGTGGTGTTCTCAGTTGTCTGGTTCATATTTGCACAGAGAGGGAGAGATCAAATAATAAGGTCGGATGTCAGTGCAGTGCTAAATAAATGAATTTTTTTTGGAGACAATCCAATTGGGCAGTGCAATCCTGTGCGTGCCTACGCAGAAGTATTGAGTTCGGTGGGTCTTTCTTTAATTTGCTGCATTTTAATTTTTATTGTTCACCGTCACAGCACTTTGCAATTTTAGTAGTTTATAAAGATCCGCTCCAAGGCACGTAGACACACCTGGAATTGTGCTGCAAGTGACGATATTTACAGCAGTGAAAATGGGTGCTAACGCTTATCATTTTAGCACAGATTTCTGGTTTGGACTGGTTTGGATTTCTTCTTAATTTTTCATCCCCAAATTAGAAGTGGGAACTGCTCACAGAAGTCATTAGAGAATTCTCAGATTTGAATATAAATGATTATGTTGTGGGAGCAAATAGAAGGATTCCTGCTCTTTCTCATTCTGGTCATATTTTGGGTGATACATACATGTATTATTATTATTTTTAAAATAGTATAGGCTACTTCCCTCTCTGGCGTGGCCCATCATTGTCACTGGCTCCCTCAATCAATTATACATCCAGAGAATGCTGCTGGGGTAGTCCAAAGCTTATTATGAAGGTTGCAGGAGAAGAACCTGCGGGATCAGCCCAAAGCCTGATCTAGTTCAGCATCCTGTGGCCAGCCAGATGTCTCAATGGGACGCTTAAAAGCAGGACCTGAGGGCAACAGCAACTCCCCACTTGTTTTTCACAGCAACTGGTATTCCAAGGCATACTGCCTCCAATAGTACAGGTAGAGAGCATAGCTATCGTGGCTAGTAGACATTGCTAGCCTTCTCCATGAATTTGACTAATCTTCTAATGCCACCCATATTGGTAACCATCAGCAGGTTAAGATTAACCGTGTGATTCTAACCTTGTCTTATTCAGGAGTAAATCTGACTGAATGTACTGGGTTAGGATTGCAACCTCAGTCTCTTACTGAGCTCTGTTTTGAACTTTTGAACAAGGAACTTGTAATCAATTTCTGCATCATGAAGTTGCTTCACCACTAAGTCAAAGGCCCATGTTACTTAGCATTTTCTCTTCTAACTGTAGGAGCTGACCAGGGCCTCTTGCAGAAGACTGTCCCAGACCTGCTGTGTCTGAGATCCTTGATGTGCTTTTTGCAGGCTCTGATTCATTCTTTTACCCAGATCCCTTAGGGAAATGAGCGGTGAGTGTGTGTGTACTTTGTGCATGGTTGTAGCCGGGGGCGGGGCAGAAAGGGGCAGCTGCCCCCCCCCCCCCGATCAAGTTAAACAACAGGAATACTAAACTAACTGACCAATTACATTGGTTCTGTCCCCCCTAACAAAAGTCCTGCCCCCCCAACAAAAGTCTTGCCCCCCATAACAAAAGTCCTGCCCCCCATAACAAAAGTCCTGGCTATAACTATGACTTTGTGTGTGTGTTTGTGTTAGGGGGACTGATCCAGGCAAGTGGGGAGAGGATACTAGAAGGAGTAGTGCCCACAGCACTTGCTGAAAAATACAAATGTGCCTCTGGACCTAAGAAAATGGTGACTCCTGCGGTAAGGAAAAACCAGTGGGACCAGAGCTGGTCCGAGACATTTTGCTACCTCTGTTGAAGGACAGTTTGACATCCCCAGTGCTGGCCTTGCCATTAGGCAAAGTGGAGTGGCTGCCTCAAGCACTAGATGTTGTGTGTGGATGACGCCAGCAAAGGCAGGTCACCTCTCTGTTGGAGCTGTGTGTGCCAGGCAGGTCACATTGTGTCCATTAAGTTAGCCTGCTGTGCTCAGGTATGGTGATGGATGTTGTCCCTTCACCTGTGTGTAAGGTTCCGTTTCCAATGTAATTGGCTTCTGTATGTTGAATGAAATGGGCTTCAACTTCTCCTTTGCCCCAAGCGACACAATATTTGAGTATTTTCATTTATTCCTATCCTGATTCTTCGGGCATATATACTGCTTGAACAGTAAAGGGATCCCCTTCTCCTCACCGGTGTGTGTGTAGGCTTACTTCAGACTGACATTGATCACACATCAACTGGTCTGTGTGGCTGGTGTGTGTTTTGGCATCTGGGGAGGTGGGCCTAGCTGGAGCAGCTAAACAGGAGTAGTGCTGAAATACCCTATGATTATGCTTTAGGTATTCATTTTTGCCCACATCTAGCCCGCATGCAGAAGGTCCCAGGTTCAATTTCTGGCATCTCCAATTAAGACTGAGAGAGACTCCCCATCTAACATCTTGGACAGCCACTGTGAGTCAATGTAGACAATACCAGGCTTGATGGACTAATAATATCTGTTGATATAAGACAGCTTTCTATGTTTGTATGTTCTATGAACCCCAGCAATTTGCAAGAGCTTTAACCCCCTATCCCGAATGTTTTAAGAATAAGGGCCTTATACCAGTCATGGATATGCAGTGTGATCCCCTCCAGATGTTGTGAACTACAGCCCCCCATTGCCCCTAACTATTGCCCATGCTGGTTGGGGCAGATGGGTCAAAGGATGATGGATGTTGCTCCCAAACATCTGGCAGACATCTGATTGGAGAAGGCTGTCTCACAGAAATGGCTGAGATTCTGTGAATCCAAAAAGTATGACTCGAGCCAGTTGCAACCTGTTTGGATCATGTGAAGGAGAGATGGTTCTTGATAGTGGAGACGAAGATGCAGCATGGTTTATCAAAAGACATAAACCAGGTTTAAATAGCCTGTTTGGCACTCCATTTGTTTGTTTGATTAGGTTGGACGTTGAGATAGCAGAATGAAATTTGGTACACTTGTTCAGGTTACCGTTCTACTTCTCAGCTTTGAATTCCTCTTCAATGCTTACACTCATTTCCATAAGGTGAAAGAACTATACAAAGCTGCAATATCTACCTTGGACTGATAAGATGGAAATATAGTTGGTGTGCACATATAGAACGTCATTTTGCATATGAAGTTTGAATATCTGCTTCTAACTTGCTTTTGAGGGATAGGGAGGAAAGATTCAAATAAATTATAATGTGAGATCTGAAGCAAGGCCTTTCAAATATTTGCTTAGTTTTATAGGAGTTTCACCTTCTCTTCTACCTATATAATATTTTTTAATGATGCTGTGGTCCTATTCCTATGCTCTTTGGGGAATCTGTGCTGTCTCTCCCTGCCCCCCTGACTTTGGAAGTGATAGGTGTCTAGCTTTTAAACTATCTCTGGGACAGTTTTTCTAGAGAGGCTTTTAGAAAATGATGCAAGGCTGTCCATTTTAAGAGGACCTCTGAGGTGTTGCTATCAGCTTGTCTTTGTAGCAGTGTAACTTGATGTCCAGCTCATGAAGCCCTTTAATTTTGGTTATAAATGGTTTGTGTTTTACTCTGTTTAAAATGCTGAGAGCTTGTGTTTTAATTTCTATAAACTGGCTGCATTTTATGATTATATGATTGTCACCGCCTAATTCCATTCTGAAAGCTGCTTTGATTAGCCTGTGTAAAAGATTGCAGCCTCTGTTATGTACTCTGCTCACACAAGCATGGGATTCCCCCCCCCATCCCCTTCCACCTCTGCCTTGCCACTGTATAGATTTTTGTTGTTGCTGCAAGTTTTCTGTTTCTGCAGAACGACTCAATAGCTGCGGATTCCCTCTCCTTGTGCTGCTATCCTCAGCTCCCCTAGAGGGCTGGGTACCACACTCTGGGAAAACCTTTGGTCTCTGGGCTTCTGGTGTGTCATTCCGATGCTAATGCCCAGAAGCAGTCCTTTAAAACCTCTCATTTATTGAGCTTTTATTGAAAGGATGTCACGGATGTGTGACTGGAACAACCTGTGCCGTGATGTTGCCAGAGCACAGATAATAAATTATCAGCCTGAGCCACAACTGCACTACCCTGGCACCAGCCTCTTTGAAATAAAGGAGGCTGGCTGCAGTGGAGAGTTTGAAGATCAAAGATTGTCCTCTAATATCCTCTCTCTCTCTCTCTCAGTATGGAGGTTGTGAACTGGACAGGCTTAAACTGCAGTGGTGAGCTACTCCCACCAGAGAGCGCTGCTTTCCTTCTAAATCGAAGGTGATGCTGGTGGAGGTGAATATCAGCATCTAGATATAATTAATAGGACGCAAATTGTTGTGATTGACAGGCCCCTGGAGAGTCCTCTCCTATATTTTATTTATAGCTTGCCTTTGCCAGCTCCTCACTAATGTAACTAATGACCTGTCTAGAGAGGTGACTCCATTTTCTTGACCCTTTTAACTCCTGCATCAGGACAACAGTGGCCTGAGATGCTTCTCAGACTTTTGGATCACAGCCTCCTTTTACTCTCCCTTCTCTCCCAACCAATCAAGCATCAGCTACTTGGTTTGAGTGAGGACATGGGTGGATCCTCATAAACACAGCAGTCTGCAATACATATGGTGAGCCAGTGTGGTATAGTGGTTGGAATGCTGGGCTGAGACACGGGTTCAAATCCCCGCTCGACACCCAGTCATGAAGCTCACTGCACCAGCCGCTGTCTCTCAGCCTGATCTACCGTGCAGGGTTGTTGCAAGGATATATTGGGGAGGGGGAGAACCACGTATGCCATTTTGAGCTCACTGGAGGAAAGGGGGGATTTAAATGCAACAACAACAACAACACATGCAGTGGAGTGTGAAGATTTGGGTTGAAAAGTGGTAGTATTGTTCTGTCTTAGGTTTCTGGAGAGCTTGCAAGGATTAAGGAAAGCAGAATTACAACAAAACAACCGTGGGAGGGAAATCACAAATCACTTTGGAACAGAGAATGGAATGGGAAGAAACATTGCAGCATCAAAATCAAAATAAAACTCGGGGCAGAGGA